AAGATACATATACGTATTTGACAGCATTTCTGGAATGAGAAGTTTGAGGCAAATACTTTCTAAAGTGATAATAGAGTCTTTCTTGTAATAATATGAATTACTTTGTTTATTAACTTTTAAGTTCAAAATGCAGTTAGCAACCCACGCTTTTATTTTTGAAATTATTAAAAAATTTATTGATTGCTTTTCGTAATAGAATCATATTCCAGTGCCGCCTCAGCTTATTAACCAGTCTTCTTTAGTTTTTTTTTGTTGCAATTGTTAATATAACTATTCCACTAAAACCAATTGCATCTTACAAATTTACAAATAGGAAGCATTTAAAAAATGAAAAATTAGCTTATTACACACTAAAAAGTATATTTTTAGTTTCTACTGAGTGCTTTTCAAGTTCAGCTTTTTAAGCTGGCCTTTTATGTCCCCATACTTCATAAGGCAAAGCACATAAAGGGAAGTGCAGCAACAAAAAAGTAACAATCAATGAGGGTCAGACCACACACAAGTTATTTTCACATGAATCCCTGCATTTAATCATCAAAACAGTCCTGTTTACAAAAGAGGCAGCTGGGCCTCTGAAAAGCCTTGACTGAATCCAAGTTCCTGATACTTAGTTTTGTGGTCTAGCACACTGTAAAGAAACCCTCAATTCCATTTTTCTGTAAGGACTGAATTCATTTTTACGACTACCATTTGTAAAGAGTAATGTTTTCTTCTATAAAATACTAACCTAAAGTACAGCCACTGAATAACATTAACAGTTAAGAATTTGACTGATGGCAGTTTTTCGGGTGTGTGCAGCCATCCCCAAACGTTTGTTTTTAAGGTACGAGAAGGGGACGTCCCTGCAGGTGTCTTATGTTCAGCTGACAAAGCTATGCCACTATTTGCTGTAAGTTTGTTCTTACAAGGTGCATTTTTCTTATGACCATGTTGAAAGAAAATATAAAATTGCCTGTCATTTATACACCTTTTTTAAAAAAAAGATGGTAAGATACAGATAGTATAACATTTACCAACTTAACCATTTTTCATCGAGCTTATTGGGGTGACATTGGTTAATAAAATCATAGAGGTGCCAGGCCAGCGTAACCATTTTAAAGTGTGCAGGTCAGTGGCATCAGTACTTTCTCACTGTTGTGCAGCCGATCCCAGGCCCTTTTTTTCTTGCAAAACTGGAACTCTGCACCCAGGCAAACAGCTCCCCACCTCACCCCAGCCCTGGGCAACCGCCATTCTGCTTTCTGTCTCTATGAACCTGACTCTTCTAAGTACTTTGAATAACTGAAATTATGCAGTAGTTGACTTTTTGTGACTGGCTAGAAGAGTTTTAAGCAGCACACACCAATTACGTACATAGACTTCAGAATGAGAGTGTACTGCCTGCGTGTGGCGCACGCTAATGTAAACTGCTTGGGGTCCCAAGGACGGGCAGGTAGAGCGGTAGGCACCATCTCTGTCTGCCCTGTTGGTTTGTGCAAGTACCCAACAGCTTAGGCAGGTTTCCAGTCTGATAGGAGGCTGTTATGAGGAAGAGGTTAGCACATAATAAGGAAAGAAAATAGCTACTCTGTTTGTTGGTACTTGTAGCAAGTTGTATTTGATAAGAATTACAAAATAATTAGAATTAGAAAGGGATGATAGAATCACCCAGTCCAACCAGTGTTCATTGTACAGATGAGGAAACAGAGGCAGGCCAAGTGGCTTAACACATTTTCTTAATTCTGCGCATTTTTCTTATATATTCATTAGTGTACTAATAAATATTCTCATGGTGGAGCTCATTATGTCCTTGAGTTTCAGAGACCCACATTTATAGAATAAAATAAGTAAAAATTTAATGTTTACTTATAACAACAAATAATAACAGAAAAAAATTCTACCTGTCTTTAATTTTTACATTGAGGATTGGTTTATTGGGGATACACAAACCATTGTTTCATTATGGCAGAAATCTGTTTGCTGGGACTTTTGATATGCTGAATCCCTGGCATGGAATTTAATTCTGTAATATTAGATTTTTAATGGTAACAAACCTAGCCTGTTGTTATGGAGAGAACAGGAGAAAATGAATGAATGCAGTAAATACAGTGTATTCAAGTACAGTCATACCTTGATACTCGTCGGCTTCAGACCTCGTCAGACCTGGTATTTGTCGCATTTTGATGAGAAAAAAATGTTTCGGCACTGGACCCTTGCTTGGGACTCATCGACACCACCCCACAGGAGTTCCAGAACAAATTAACAACAAGTACCGAGGTACCACTGTACTTGCCTGAAGGTCTTGGGAATGACAACTTTAAGAAGCTCTACAAAAATGTAATATCAAGTCAATCAGCATCTATTTAGCATCTGCAAATGAGATACAACATCCATCTACCAGGAAGGAGCTTATAATAGGAAGGCATTTTTTAAGATGTGTATATAGATCTTGTGTGTACATATAAAGATACCTAATAACTCAAGAGGGAATATAAGAAATATGTTACAGAGACATTCATGGAGAGAAGCAATCACTCAAGCCTATGGGAGGCAACAAGGGCTTCAGGGAGGAGCAGCTGTTTTTATTTTATTATTTTAATTTGAGCCTTATAATTTGAATAGTTAGAAGACAATGAGGTGATTTATTGAAGCAGATGGTTTTTGTAAAGGAAATTAATAGAAAGAAAGCTAATGGAGTAGGATTGCTCTATTGAGAAGGATGTTGTTAGTCTTACGCCCGGCTAACGAGACTGGACTTGGGCAGTTGGCAGTAGGGAAACCTATAAGCAGAAGTGCGATGTGATCCAAGTGGTGATTTAAGAAGACATATCTTCTGGCAATGTAGGATAATACGTCTTGATGGAGAGAGAAAACGGAGTTGGGGGACCAGTTGACAGGCTATTATAACATCTGAGTGCCAGGCACTGTTGTTATCCCCATTTTACAAATGAGGAAACAGAGGCACAGAGCAGTTCTCTGCCTCCCCACCCCTGCTCAAGGTCCCACGGCTAGTAACCCGGAAGTCTCCATCCTCTAGTGGCTGTCATAAATAGTTTGGATCTACGCTAGAGTTCTGGCTCTGCATACAAGTGAGGGACATGTCCGTGACAGAGGACAGAACTCGGCTGGCTGTGTAAAGCAGGAGAGAGGTGTCAGAGAGGAGCTGGGCAAATTGAGAACTGGGTGGGCACGTAAGTCAACATGGACAAATCAAAATCAGTTGACCCATAACTTTTACTTACAGCAGTTTATTCCAAGGATATAATCACAGGAAGCAAAAGCAGAACAAAGTTATTTTCAAAATTTAAAAGAATATTGATTATCATATTTATGGGTGGGGGGACTTAAAGGTTATTCCCAAAATGTTAATGATTTAATTATATTTGGATATTCCGTGAAATTTTCTTAAAAGCTTTTTAGTATTTTCTAGATTTTCTTCAGTAAATATGTACTGCTTTTATAGTAATAATTTACTTACTTCTAAAAAGAGAGTTCTAGTTTGGGAAAAAGATTATTTTAGGGCTCATTTACTCATTCACTCATTCATTAATTCCTCAAGTCTTTATTGCAGTGCTCACAATATGCCAAACCCGATCCTGACTAGATGTTTGACACAGAAAAATGAAAAAAACAGTTCATTGTCTTGCAGAAGCATTCAATCTAGCAGGAAGACAGACATACAGACAAATAACTCCAGTGTGATAAAACAGAGAGAACACAAAGGCGTAGTCAGCATTTCGAGGAAAGGGCCATCTGGGTAGGTTCATTTGACTCTGGGAAGGCATAACACTTAAGGTATCGCTTTAGTTGAGCCTCGACATTTGCCAGGTGGACAGATAAGCTGAAAGAAGGCGTTCCCCTAGAGGAAGCAGCCGCACGTGAGGGAGTGGGGGTATCCAGATGCGAGCACCAGCTTCGGTTGGAACCGGGCAGGAGAGCCCCAGGCTGGAGCGGCGATGGTGCCTGTGGCCTGAATGGCGTGCCAGGCCTCTAAAGCGGAGCGCCTTGAAGAAAGCCCTTGGAGGACATGGATGGAAGAGGAGGATGCCGGAGAAGGACTGGAGAAGTAGGAAGAGTCAGGATATGATGGGGAGGCCCAAGAAAGCCAATGTGAATGGTCACAGCTGCAGACACAACCTGTGTGATGCTTGTGTTTGCAGTAGAGGTAGGGGCATTAGAATGAGTTCTAGGTTTGGTTCTTGTATGTGTGTGTGTTGTTTGTTTGGCTACTAAAAACTTACCTATACTTACATGGGTAAAAGGTACAGATTGTAATTTGTTTAGATACCTCTTTCTATTGAGACTAAGCAAGAGGGCCTGGGTTTTGTGCAGATGTTTTCAAGACAGGGAAGAAGAGGGAACCTAGGCCCTGGGTAGACTTAACATCGCAGCACAGCAGTGATGGTGTGCGTGCTGTGCGGAGGGCGGGTAGGGGGGGCGCGTAATCACAGACCTCTGGAGAATGAAAACAAATTCTCCATGCTCTTTGGGGGGGGGGGGGATGGGAAGAGCAGCAAGAGGTAAATAAAGGGTTGTTGAGCAGTAGTGGGGACCTAACTGGAGACCCGTAGGAGGTTTGAGAGAGTCAGGGTGGCTTGTGGACTCATTCCTGCCTCAGTGCCAGTAACTCAGATTGCCAGAGTCTGAATGTAAGACTACTTTTTGCACAGAATACGCTGTTTTTATAGTCCTAGAGCTGAGAGATCTATTTAACGTCAATTGTTTTTACATCAATTTTTTTTCAATATTTTATTTACTTGTAGAAAAAGGGCAAGGGGGGAGGAAAAGAGGGAGAGAAACACCCATTGGTTGCCTTTTGCACGCCCCCAGTGGGGGCCTGGCCTGCAACCCAGGCATGTGCCCTGACTGGGAATCAAACCAGGGACCTTCTGGCTTGCAGGATGACGCCCAACCCAGAGCTACACCAGCCAGTGCTTAACTTCAGTTCTTAATAAAAAACAAAAGTAGAAATTTTAATATTCATGTATCATTACATCACCCAAATGAAAGCAGTAACTCACCTTCATTGATGAACATTACAGGTGGTATCTTGAAAGGACTTTTGGTGGGAGAAGTTGGCAGATCAGGTGGTGGCACTAAGTCTCTGGAGTCCCCTGGATCCCTCTGAATCTCATTACCTCCCAGCAGCCCAGGGGTGTACTGATGGCTGTTGGGAATGTGTCGTGGCACTACCTGGACAAGGGGAGGAGACCCCTGGGGGTCTTGTCGGGAAAACGTCCTCAGGCACTGCTCCTCCAGCAGAGTGATCGTCACAGACTGGTTATTGACCAGGTCCGCTAGGGAAGCATATTTCACCTCTAATTCCCGGTACCTGGTTGCCATCCTCAACATCTCTGTGGTGACATTGAGGATTTTATTTTCCAGCTGGGAAAGTTCAAGTGAATTATCCCTCTTCCGGATAATCTCGTGGAGCAGCTGCATGTAGAGCTGCGTGACTCGAGAGTTCATGTTCCGGCTCTCTTTCCTCAGCAGCTTGACCTCGTTCACGATGTTTCCATCTACATCCACCACCAGCTGCAGGCCGTCGATCTCACGCTTCTGCTTGGAGAGCACGTCCCGCAGGTTCTCCAGGTCCATCCTGGTGATCATGTCCTTGATGGCTCCTGCGTCCTGCCCCTTGGTGTTGACACAGATGGGCCCTGTTATTTTCTGCTCGGGGACCAGGAACGTGTATGCGCACCTCTTGACTTCCTCTCTGCCGTCTGTGGCGCGAGGGTACCTCCTCGGGGTTATTTTTTTTATTTTGAACTGTCCTGCTCTGCAGGGGTCATTGCCCATTAGTAGGAAGAGTAGCACAAGAAGGGTCCAGATAAAAGCCTTCATTGTGAAATGAGCTTCTCTGATGTCTTTAAAAAAGCAAACCAATGAAGGGAAGAAGTAAAAGGAGTTAATGTTAATATGCTTTTATAAAAAATCAGTAATATAAAAAAGTATCGGGGGGGGCCTGCATATCTGCTTGTTAGTAAATTAGACCAGAATTCACATTATTAATGTTCAAGTGCAGTATCATAGTGCCCTTGTGTTTGTTTAACAGTGAGGTTTCAGAGAATGGCGCTCCAGTTGCCACCTTCCTGCTTTTTGTTCCCTGGCTCAGTGAGCAGATTTTGGTGAGTGCCCACTGAGTGCAGTGGCGCCCTAATAAGATGCTTTCCTGACCTTCAAAAAGCTCACTGTCTGAAAACTCTCAAAATGGGCCACAATGTTTGTAAAGGCATTCATTAAAGCATTATTCCCTAATTAGTGTTAAAGTTACTAGGTGACGACGAGCCAGTGTTTTATATTTATATTGTGCAGTTACAATTACATTAGCCCTCTCAATAAATATCTTTTGAACTATCAAATTAAAGAAACGCTTTTGGACAAATCTAAAATGGGAACGTTTTAGCATATTTTTGTTTTTGAAGCATGTTTCTTTGGGATTGGGGACAAGCTTAAGAAGGATAGAATGCTTACAGTCATTATTGTGGGTAGTCATATGTTTCCTATATCCTAATATTACATGAGTTCTAAGCTTATTATGACTCAGCAGGTTCATTCTCCTAACATGTTCTACTGAACCGTATTTTAATAAAATGTTAACCTTCCATAACCACTTCCAAGGAAAGGAACTATCTGTAGTTGAATGTGATTGTCCGAGTGGGAAAGCACCTTAGAAACTACCTCATTCAAGGACCCCGCCTCGCCCCCATGTGCATGTTGAAGGCCAGGGCCACCCCGGAGATGCTGTTGGAGCCAGGTCAACAGTCCGGCTTCCCTGCCTCTTCAGGGGGTGTGGATGGCAGTGGCCCACACCCTAAAATCTGCTCTTGGGATGCTTCATTTTTGCTGTGGCAGATGAGAAGTACTTGTTTGTGGTACAGTTTCTATGGAAATACCAGAACGAGTTGAGTTCCAAGAACCAAAGCCGTTTCCTTCCCCGTGGTTACCCCCTAAAGAGGAGTGGCCGCCGGACTAGCGCGCCCTCCACCGGGCCCTCAGCCAGCGCTGGTGGCGTGGCCCGCCTCCCCACCCTGTGAGCGGGGCTCCGGCTGCTGCTCTGGAGGGGCGGCGGCGGCTACACGAGGAGCTCTTCCACCCTGCTTTCCACCCAAGTGCTTGTGTTTTATTTGAGAAGCCAAGTCCCAAGTTGTTTATGCGTGCTGTCAGTGCTTACGGCGCAGTAATAACCAGAGGCCGAACTCGCTGCGTGCCTGCTGAGTGCCAGGCATGGTTTTAAGCCCTTCACATGTGTTAAATCACTTCCTTCTCACTGCAGTCCTCTGAGGTAGATTATGATCCTTATTTTCAGATGAAGAAACTGGCAGCCAGAAATGCAGTCCCTCCTAAGAGATGGAGCCATGACTTGAACCCAGGTGGAAAACTCCAAGGGTCATATTTCTCATTAACCACTGCCGCCTCTGGCAGCGCAGGAGGCTACTTTCTATCAGCAGCACTGTAACAATCCCTTGTATTTATGTCTGCTTAACAGATGTTAACTATTTTGCATTTTGCAAAGAAATACTCAAGCAGGATTCAGATGATTTACTTGTAAATTTTCTAGACCTGTGGTTTTTATCTTGTCATAACTACAGAGGAGTCTTAACTTTGTGCTTCTTATTTTTCACAGAATTGGGGAATAATGAAAACAAAGGATGGATGGAGTGTGGGGAGTTACTGTTCACTTACGAAATAATTTAGATGGAAGGATGAGTATAATAATATTCCATGTTTATATCAAAGGCCTTCTGTTGCTGACTGATCGCCAAAAGCACACTTGGATGAGTAGTTTTGGTTTTTATGGTATACTTTGCTTTCTGGCATCAGTAGAAAATTTAGACCTTAGAAGTTTTCTATTTTATATTACAAAGGACTTTACTGCCTAGGATTACTTACACTCAAAACCAGTACAAGATTTCTCGTTAAATTTACAGATTCATGGACTGAGATATGGTTTAACTTAAAAACTAAAGGCAATGCCATAGAAGGCGCGAGCCCGCTGGGTGAACGCACAGCACTGCTCCCACGCAGGTGCTCGCCTGGGGCCCAGGGCCTCCCGTCTCACTTCCAGAACAGCGCAGGCTCTTAGGTCATGAAATCCTGTTAACTAATCTACTACAAAATAAGCTACCAAAACAAGGAAAATTGAGGAAGTATTGTGGAACTTCAAAACAAGCAGAACTTTATGAACAGTATTCTGTTTGAAAAACTTGCATTCTTAGCAGACATAGATTTTTATTAGAACAACTAAGAGCATGTAATCCAAGGCTGGGATAGTGACTTTGCATCACTGTTGTCACAGAAGAACAAAGATGTGAAAATACGAATTGGAGTTAAAATAGCAATCTCCTCCTTTAGGTGTATTCCGTCATGGCCCTTTGTGGGTTCTATACAGTTACATGGTAACATAGACCACTGTCTACCTACCACAAGAGAATCTGACCTAAATTGATATTTAAAGGAGGCAACCAGAAGTTTATTTTTAAAAATAAATACAATTCCCTGATCCTTATAAAAGTACTGACTTTGTTGTCACCTAAAACAGAGTAAGGAGCCAGGTTTTAAGTAGTAGGCTTAGCTACGTCACGAGTAAAGAGCCGGCTTTAAAAATACATTTACTGTTACATTTTCTGAAACATTCTCTTATTTAATATTTTCCCACATATGTTCAGCTTTAAAAGTGAAAGATCCATAAATCTGTGTTACCTCATAAAACCTTTCTGTATATGTTAAAATTTTCCTAGGTCCCAAGAGAAAGTTATAAATTAGTTACAGTATACTTAAATTTAAATCTGTCTTTGCCTGTTGTTTTTAGGAGGGAAAGTCTTCCATGCTTTGGATTAATTCTGTTGGTGCTTTTTCTCTGCATGGCTGCTCCATGGCCAGCTAGCAGAGAGTGGGTTGGGACTGACTTCCTTTCGGATGGTGACCGCAGAGCGGCACCTCGCTGGCTGTGTCCTGCCCTGGAAACGGGAGGCAGCGAACTTAAACTCAGGAGGCATCCACAATACCTTAGATAAAGAACCTGCAGGGTGTAAGTTGTGTTCTGGAAGAGACTCGTTATCTGTGTGCCCTGGGTTTTAGATTCCATGCTTCCCTAAGGCTTCAGTAAGAACTGGGGTTTAGTGAGGTCCTGCACTTTTCATAGCCAAAAATGAAAACATGACGTATTTCAGATCCGGTATTGCTTGGGGGTTTTTGTCAGAATTTCTTGTAAAATGTGTTTCACAGAGACCCTCCCAGAAGATTCTTACAGTTAGTATCTTTAACATTTAAAGGATAGAGGATCCCGAAATCATAACAGACTTAAGTATTTTTGCATTAAAGGTTACTAATTGGTAACTGGTAACTTTATGGTTAATAATTCTCACAATACAGTGAAAGCCCCCAGATGAAATAGAGAAACCTCTTGCATGTATTTACCAAAATTATTTCTATAAACATTATTATATATTTTCTGTCTTTTAATCATGTATTCAAGTAAGTGTATCTTCTGGATTTTATTTTCTAGTGTTAATGCTGACATATAATACTTTTATCACATTTTCTTTTTATCTCCAATCCTAATCTGAAAAGTTTTATGGGTTTTTCTATATATCAGTAACTTTTATTTTTAATTTATTTCAGTGATAGCACCTTTTGTTTGTTACCCAAGTTAATGTTACATGTAAAACTGGGAAAATATTTTAAATTTTGAGTTTTAACAATAGTATAGACCTGCTGAAATCATTATAAGGATTCCTGCTTATATTTGCTTATACCATAATAGAGGTGTTGTTTCAAAGCCTTTCAGTTAATTTTATATCTTTTTTAGCTTTTTTAGCTATAATTTAAGGTATCTAACAGTAAAAATTTTCAGCACACACTGTAGTTACATGAAGAAAATTAATGTTTACAGCTATTTAAGTCTGTACCCCTTTGTTTTTAATCACTGTGCTATAAATATAAAACTTACATGTTCATATTACAGTTAAAATTTGTATCTAGTGTCACTAAAGCTCTTGTCTTCTGAAACCCAGCATATATGCCTTAATCTGTAAGCATATTGGTAAATATTATTAAATTGAATCTCAAATAATGCATTAGTCGTCATAAAGTGCCTAATGACCTGTTTTTACATAAAGTTGCAAGACAAAACCTTTTTCAGATGAAATAAATTTTTAATGTATTCCAGAATTCTTTGTTTTTAATAAGAGATTTTGAAATTTCTACAGCAAATGTAAAATAATTATTCATTTGACATACATTAGAATTTTTAAATTAAAAGTATTAAAGTACCTTTTTGCATCTGTTGATAAAGCAAACCCAGAAACTCGCTGCTCTTATTCTTGCTTTTAAAAATCAGTGTAGGAGTTTGTTCATCTGTGACTTGAATGGCAGCTGCATCTTGGGCCGTCGAATCCAAGCTGTAGTGAGGAACGTCTTTTTCTTCTTACAGCACTAATCAATGGAATTTGACAAGCCACCTATGTAACCTTAGGTAGCGGAGTGGAAGTTCTGGTCTGTGGGCAGTCTCTAATCCAGCAGAGAAAGCATTGTGGCTTTGCTGTGTCTGCCACATGGAGAAATGCAGTAACCAGCTGCAGCTGACCCAGATTGTATGTGCGGCACCCTTGAATAGTGATTCCCTCTTTCTCAGTAGACTCAAGTTCAGCCCACATATTACGTCACCAAAAAATTGCTGGAGACTGGGGGCGTGGGGGCGCCTCCACGCTAGGATTTCCTCTCTGTGGCCTTAAGGGTGGGGGAGTGGGATCAGCAGGAGGTTGAATGGCTGGAACAAGGAGAGACTGTGCAGGTTGAAGGAAGGGCACCATCTGGAAACAAACTATCCTCATTCGGCAGGCAATTATAAAACAAACATTTTAGTCTGCTGGCCAGAGATCTTTTAGGTTGAACACTGAAAAGAAAAAAAAACAGTACTCAACTTCACTTAGAAGTAGTTGCAGGCTGATGAGTTTGTTTTTTGTTACAAAGAACAAGAGTTACCTTTGGTCAGGAGACAGACACCTGAATAATGTAATGCTCTTTATAGCCTAGAAGTTTTAAACAGTTTATTTACTAAGTTGCCATTTCAGAAGGTTTTAAACTTACAAGAAACCTAATGGTGTAATATATTTATCTTACTGTGTAATGTTTTTTAAGATAAATCTACTCATTTTTATATATAATTACTGAAAATAAGTGGAAATCTGTGTATGAAATTCTTACAGAATTTTAACCGTTTTTAAATGTAAACTCTAATGCTATGTAATGTCACTTCCTCCTGTTCTACGGCATGGCACCTCTTGTCTGAGCAAGGCTGTTCTTAGAGTTGATATGTTGTGATTTAAGTGAAAACATAATCCTGGCCTGAGTGGGGATAAAAAGAGAGGCTTGTTTTGTTGTTTTGTTTTGTTTTTTTAATATCATGGCTGAGTGGCTCAGTTGGTTGGAGCAACATCCCGTACATGAAAAGGCTGGGGGTTCGATCCCACTTGGGACACATACCTAGGTTGTAGGTTACATCCCAAGTCTGGGCACCTACGGGAGGCGGCTGATCAGTTCTCTCTCTCTCTCTCTCTCTCTCTCCCTCCCCCCCCCTTTCCCCCCTCATCCCCCGCAGCTCCCCCACCCTATATTCACTAGTGAGGATTAAAGAAAAGAGAGAGTTCTGATGACACCACCCCTACCCCCCACCTAGTTACTGGCCTTGTAAACTTGGGTAAGTCCCTTTTACTTACCTCTGGCCCATTGTTCTGCTATGAAATTAGGGCACTGGAGAGAATTACTAGTTGTTGAGTACTAACTATGCTGTTATATTTCATTAAATCAGGAAATGTGATTAAGTAACTCAATATCTGAGGAAACACAAATTTGGCATCTTAAGTGATTTGGCTTAGTGCTTGAGCACTAAGTGGTAGGCAGGGGATGAGGATCGCACTGCTGCTGCTAGATGGTGCCTTTGGGCTTCCGCTTTCTCAGCCCGCCACGTGCTTCTCCTCGCTGCTGTAGCTTGTCTTTCTCTCTCTGATATTTGTCCCCTCAGCTGTTGATGCACATCCTTATTTAAAGTCAGCTTAGTTTCTGCCTCTTTGCTTAAATTCCTATGACATACATATAGGTATACCAGGGGCTGTAAACTCGGGGGCCTTCATTCACAGGAGTGAAGCAGGTCACGTAACAATAAGCATAGTAAACTGGAAGTAAGATAACAGGAAAATGAGGGTTATGACAAACTGACATCCTGGTTATGGAATCAGCACCCTTTGCAGCTCTACCTCATTGTTGCCAGATCTCCCCATTGTTTTAGCAAAAGAAATTCATTTAGGTATTTCCTATGATATTTCCTGATTTTAAAAACATTGGGACAGATGGATTGCCAGCTTCCAGTCCCTGATTTACATTATGTACTACATGGTACGATCATTCAGTGGTCATGTTTTATTCACTAGTAGCTTAATCTGGGGAAAACATGAGAAGTATGTTCCTCCTGAGTTGTTTTTTACTTAAGTGATTTTGCACTTTCAAACTTTAGCAATTAGTAATATCACTAACCACAGTAGGAAATTGGAACAGCTGGCATTCAGGAACAAATAATGGTTAGTTTGGCATGTAAAATTGAAAATGAAAGTCAGGAGCTCACATTCTATAGAGATTTGGGAAATCATCAGCAATTAGGTGATAGCTGAAGCTATAGAAGCAAAATAATCCAGAAAAAGTACACGTAGAGTGGGAAGATTAATGACAGAACCGTGGGGAATACCAACTTCCCGGGAACATGAGGAAAAACAAGAACAGAGGGAATGTGGGAAGCTATGAATGTTCTAGCAGTAAAGACCAGGGAACTAAGGGAATAGTAAAAATACTACAGAGAGACAGCAGGAAGAGACCAAGAAGGACATTTAAAGTTGCGATAAAGAGAAAGTCATTTATGCCTTCCCCGGAGTGAGTTTAAGCAGCTAGATAGGTGTTAATTTCAGTTTACAGAGGCGGCTGAGGAGTAGTGACCAGATAAAATTTAACTGCTCGGGGGGGGGTTGGTTTCTGCAGCGTGTTAAGAACTTAGAAATCGGTAAGAAGACACACCAGAGGAAAAATGGACAAAATGCAATTCATAGAATTATAAATGCTTAACCTCATTATTAATCAAAGAAGTGAAAATTAAAACATTATTTTATACCCACAAGATTGGCAAAAATTGATTGAGCTGATAATATCAAGTGTTAGAACAAGTGTGGATCAATAGAAACTTATACACCTCAGTGGGTGTATGAATTGAGACAGTTTTAAAAAGCAACTTAGCCAAAGAAACCCAAAACAGTAGTTCAACAGAATATATGCCCCCACCCCGGGTTCATTGTGGTGTTATTTATAATAATCAAGATATGGAAACAGCCCAGTTGCCCATCAGGAGACGAGTAGGTAAAAAAGCTGTGGTACATCTATACAGTGGACTATTACTTGGCCATAAAAAAGAAATCTTATCATTTGCAACAGCGTGGATGGACCTAGAGGGTATTGTGCTAAGTGGAATAAGTCAGAGACAAATACCATATGATTTTACTTATGTGCAGAATCTAAAAAACAAAATAAACAGACTCACAGAAACAAATAACAGACTGACATTAGCCAGAGGGGAGGGGTGTTGGGGGGCTGGGTGAAAAACATGAAAGGATTAAGAAGTGTAGATTGGTAGTTAGGAAAGAGTCACAGAACATAAAGTAAAGCATAGGGAATATAGTCAATAATATTCTAACAGCTAAGTATGGTGCCAGGTGGGTGCAATATCGGGGGAGCACTCTCGAAAGTATGTGATTGTATAACCACTATGCTGTAAACTCTAAACTAATACAAAATAATGTTGAATGTGAACTGTAACTGCAAGATTTTTTTTAAATGTGGCGCTGTCTTGCTCTGCCTATAGCAAGATGGGTTGGGGGGAAGTAACTCAGAAGTCTGTCCAATAAAATGAGTTGTGATACTGTTACATGTTAGTCTATTCTCATTTAAGGAATTAGAGCTGCATTTAACATGAATAAATAAGCATACTAGTCTGTTTCCCTTTCCAAGTGTTTGTTGAAGGGAGACAGATAAGGGTCCTATCTTGAGGAGGGGATCAGATTTGAAGGAAGGGTTGCTGTGATATTTTGTGTCTTGAATAGAGGAGATTTAAGTGTGTGCACTGGCTCTGGAAAAGGAACCAGTAGAGGCAACAATGGGTATTTTACATTGAAAACCACTGTTTAAGTTCGGGAAGAAAGGGAATTCTTCCTCTGAAGAGGAAGGGGAGTAGAGCTAGGCTACGGTCATTCGAGGTCATAAAAGAGAAGTCGAGAGTCTCTCAGGAAAAAGACATGTTGATGATAGGCGGCTTAAGGGCACTGCCGAGATTTACCGGCTGGAAGCGGAGGGGTGCAGGGCGAGGGCGGGCACCGCCACGCCAGCTTTTGCCCTGTGTTAACCGCCGACTGTCGTGCCGCCACACCGGATTTTCATGTTCTGAGAGTGAAAGGCAGAGCAGCTGCCTTAAGTGAGTTCATAGTCTTGAACAGGTAAGACATGAATATGAGAAAGTTTTAAAAGATGAGATTACAAAGTCACAAAAGTTATCTAGTGAACAGTATAGATATGTATGAGTTTGTAACAGTGTAATAAAATACTTGGGGTAATATATGTCAGCTGTAATTCAGAAAGTAAATTACTTAAAGTGAAAAAATCCGGGACACAGGAGTTGACTCTGACATGAGCTCTGTCACCGACGGCTCCCATGGCATTAGACACATCCTCCTTGTCTGCTGCGCACCTGAGGTTCTTCATCTGTGAAGGAGGGCAGGGTGGTGCTACACCATTCCTAAGTTCCTCTCTTGGAATTTAGGAGAAAACTACACTGACTTGGGTATAAGATGTAATTTAGATGATGAGAGATGAGTGTAGGAAACAGTCAAGATGGAAGAAACAGCACAAGAAAAAAACAGGGCTTATTTGGAAGGTGGTGGTGCATCATCATGGTTGCATTTACCTGAGGCTTCGCGAGCACAGAGTGATTATGAGGTAAAGCAGGAAAGTGTGTGTGTGTTTTTTTTCCCAACTATAGTTGTCTTACATACTTTACATGAAACATTTTAAAATAACTGACCTTGCATATCCATAACTAGTGCAACTAAATTATTTTGAGGGATATGTTATTTTTGTTGGTACAGGGAAGTGGTGAGTAGGGGCTGAAGAGAGTTAACGTCAGCTCTCTGGGCTGTTTTAGACATCCAGCTGTTAATCTTTAAAACAGGATATTTCTATCAGAATGAGACAGTTTTCAAATGTCCTGAGTTAAGACTCCAGTGACAATTATCAGCTCGAGGCAAGGGGGTATAGAACAATGTCAGTAACTACCCCGTGCCAGGCACCGGCTGCCCCGCCTGGCTAACTGCGCTTCAGGCTGTCCCACGGCTTGGAAAATAGGGGACTAGGAGAATAGACATAAAAACTGAGGCTCAGAGGTTAAAATCACGCCATGGAGACAGCTGGTCAGAGGCAGAGCCTGTCCAAGAGCTCGGCGAACTGGCATTAGGCCCTGTGGGCGCTGGGGTTCCCTCCAGCCTTGGGCTGCTCTTCACAATGGCGTCTGAAGAGGACGTCTACACAAAGCACGTTGCAGAGAGGGGTGCAGAGAGGGGCCAAAGCAGGGTTGCAGTCTGGAGTACGCGAAAGACAGTTCTTGTATGATTATTTACTGATTATTGCATTGTTTTCCATATGAACAACTGTAAACCTCCTTTGCCCCACCCTGTAGTTACACATCTGACCCCAGCTCCCTGGAAATCTCAGCCTCGGGCCGTGTGTGTACAGGGCTGCAGTGCATGGGAACGGAGCCTCGGTGTGGCCTGAGACGCAGCTGTGCGCTAGCTCTCCTCCCCTTCACTTAGTTCTACTCCTCCAGGCTGCAGGGAGGAACACGCTCATTTGTCTAATTTCCTTTCAGGTATCTATTTGTCAGATTTAACATACATTGATTCAGCATACCCGTCAACTGGCAGCATTCTAGAAAATGAGCAAAGATCAAATTTGATGAATAACATCCTTCGAATAATTTCTGATTTACAGCAGTCTTGTGAATATGGTAAGTTGCCAGGGACGATGCAAAGCCATTATCAGGTGGTGGTGTCGCTGACTCACTCACTCTGACTCACTCACACGCCAGGGAGGCCTCTTCACCTGGCAGGGAACATCATCTTAACACAAGGGCAAACAGGGATTGCTTTATTTCACCGGTTAGTATTCAGCATCCTGTTTAAGAGCTTGTTTTTTAAGGAATTGAAGTATTTCATATCTAAAATTTTGTTTTATCTCTGCTCTTTTGCTGTTTTGTAAAAATTTTGCTAACATAATATACAAAATTATTTTCTATTTTCATTTCATTTGATCTCCCTGTTCTATTATGGAAATAGCTCTTATGTTTTTCATTTAGGGAAGGAGCTAAGACTTTTGACACTGGTAACAACTGACTAGCCTTCTTGAGTCTGACATTGAGTAAATAATCAATTTTTTTCCAAGATGTATTTTGTGGAAACACATGTTTAAAAACAGCTTACACAAGCCCAGATGATTAGAAAAGATTTTTAGGGGGGGGTTCTATTTAATGTTTTTAGTGGCTTTCAATTTGGTAAGGAATAAATATAGGCTACTGATACCTGATTTTTGTGATATTATAAAACAGTGACTTTACACCATATGATTAAAAGTTGAGGTTGGGGATGAATCTTACTGAAAGTTAAACAATGTTCTTTTATTTTTATTTATATTGTCGACACTGTTACAGATGAAAACAGTCTTGTTTCATCATCTCAATGTTTTTAAACATAACACCAGATTATAATGTTAAATTATCTATATAAACAATATGCAACTGTGATTTTATAAATTACTTTCAGTCTTATATTAAATAAAATTTTTCTCAGTAATATCCTTCTAGAATTAATTTAAATTTGGGTACCATGTGGCCTTCATTCACCTTTAAAAATATTTTTCTTAGCTTAATTTAAAAATTCTAGTGATGTACTTTATCAGATAATTAATTATTTATCACGTCTTGCCTAGATATCCCCATACTGCCTCACGTACAAAAATACCTGAATTCTGTTCAGTATATAGAAGAACTACAAAAGTTTGTGGAAGATGATAATTACAAGTAGGTTGGATCTTCAAAAATGGTTTGTATAACTATCCTCTCCCCTCTCATCCCCATGTATTTAAACATTTAAGTCGTACATCATATCATGCAAATGCCTAATCCAGCCATGCATTTAAATGGTAACGGTATTTACATGTATCTCTTTTTAATCACTTGACATGATGGAATCAACATACAAATATCTCATCTGTTCTTTTATTAAAAAATATTTCATCTTTCTCAAGTTGTTAAGAGTTATGATTGATAGTTCTAGTTTAAATATCTTTTATTTAAGCATTGAACCTTTATGGAAATTTATCTTTTAATAGACTGTGAAAAATTAACAAAACACTCTACAAAGAAAAGTTACTCCTTTTTTAATGGTGATTTTTGACACATCTTTGAACTTTGAATTGTTCTTGTGGTTTGAGAGAATCTTGAACCTTCTTGCTTTTGGGTCACAGGCATGTTTAGTTAATAACACTTACTTTGTTAAAGCAAGTCCTTCATTGAAGATTTTAAAAGCCATTGTTAAATAGCTGGTGTCCGTTTCCTTCTCACTGCCACCCACAGGACCGACCAAGGTGGGAGGGCCTTTTGAATTTACCCTTTCTGTTTTCAGCGGTCTGCTGCACACCGCGGCTGCCAGGTTTTTCTGTGGGAGGATGAGAGCTTACTTCTCTTGAGGCTTCTCATTTTTCTTCTAGCTTCGTTTGTTTAAAAAGATAAACGTTTTTAGTTTATTGTTTTAGTTGTTCCTAAGCTTTCAAATTTAACTTTGTGTCTTTCTCAAATATTTTCTCCCAACAAAAGCTTTAAAAATCTATCAGATTGAAAGAATAGTTTTTCAATATTCATGCATTATATGAAAATGTTTTTATCTCATATGATAGTGATTGTCAACTTCTTGTTCCATAGTTTCAACTATTTTTTTAAAGAGTTTTGCAGAATACAATTAATACCAATAAATGACTAAAAATTCTAGAAAACACCTAGAAATAACTTTCCTTCAAAAAATTAAGTATATTAAGAGGCTCTAGATATATCCTTAAGGCACCTAAAATTTTACTGATGTTTGAAAACACCTTGATTGCCATCTCTACCCCACATTGTATTTACCACTGTTTATTTCTATATCAATCTTTATTTTACACCACCTTTTTGCATGGTACTTCATTTGAAAATGTATGCAGTCAGTGAATCAGCTCTTCAAGGCTGGAGTTGTTTCACAAACCTGTTGCTGCCCTAGGTTGTGAGCCTCTTGCGTGAGGTGGCCTGTGTCTCATGTTTCCCGTGTTTTCCCATCTCTCCAATCACTGACATAGCACAGAAACACTTAGGTTTTATTGAGTGAGGTACAGATGATTATCTTAAAACTCAATATGAGTAAGTAGCTTTTAAAATTTCTATATCTGACTCAAGAAATATATTGATTTAAAAGAAGGTAAAGTTTATTCAATGGAAATGAAGTCTAAGAACTATTGCAGTTATAGTGGGCGGTAAATTTTTATTGGCTATGATACAAGTACAATAAAGTATTTAAGCTACGTCTTGCTTTGTTAAAATGATAGAATTAGCTATTTAAGACATTAAGTACGACGTCTATCCAGAAGGTATCCAGCCATGTAATATGAAACAGATTTATTGAACAAGATACAAGAAACATTGTAGACAGGACAATGGTGCCCCAGTCCCCTTCAAAGTAGTCACCTTGGGACCTCACACAGTTCTCCCAATTGCCATCAGCTGCCGCGTCGTATTTTCCTGACTCTCATTGACAATCTGAAATCTCTTCCCTTTCCAAGGTGATTTTAGGTTTGGGAAAAAAACAGAAGTTGCAGGGCATCAGATGTGGTCTATAGAGGGGCTGAGTCAGTCACCTGGATGATACGATGTTTCACAAAAAAAACTCTGCACAAGATGTGATGCATGAGTGGGCGTGTTGTGGTGATGAAGCTGCCAATCGCTAGTTGACCATATCTGTGGCCTTCTGAATCATCCAAATATATTCCACAGAGGACTGTTCAAGTTTAACGCAAAATTTGATGCAGACTCATTTCTCTACTCGCTCGGTCATTTGGAACGTGGTGACCGCACAGACGGTATACATGCTCACTCAGTGGTGTCTGCTGCCTCTACTGGCTAGTACAGTGAAGCAGTCATTGTTCACACAGGCGCATACTAGTCCATTATCATTGGCTGCCAGGTTACATTGTGTCGTGCAAACTATTCTTGTTACATTAACAATGGCTGGACTTTTTCTAGACAGATGTCATAGTTTTAACTGTCTATAAACTGACATATTATAAAATACCTTCATTTTTGTAGGAATGCTGGTGCTATCATATTGATTCTAATTATCATGAGTAGCTAGAAGCAGAGCAGCCTTCCCATTATGTACATTTAAAAACTACGTATTAAACTTCTGTTATAGGCGAGTTATTGTGCTAGTTGCTAGGATTACAAAATAAGATATTCTTGACCTTAAGAAGCTCAGTCTAATGCAAAACACATCCACAAAACAGATGATCACAGAACAGTTCACACCGCACTGTAATAGAGATATGCCCAGGATGCTATGGGAACATACAGAAGGGAGGACCTGACTCAACCTTAAGTGGGGAAAGTGAGGAGAAAAGAAACCTTAACAGCTTCAGGAGACAGTGTCACCTGAAGCTGCATCAGAGTAGGAATTAGGACCACAGTGAAGGTTAGGGAAGGGTGTTCCAGGGCAGGGCGGGATCAAAGGAGCGGGGTGGGAAGTAGGGGGGATGCTGGGGACTACAACTCGCTTGGGGTGTTGGGCATCCGTGGGAGACCAAAGAAGGCTGGTGGTTTTTCTAAAGCTGCAGTTATGTTACATGAACCTGCAAATCAAATGTGTTAGAAATCAGAGTATTTTAAGATAGGGGACTTTAAAGTGATTAGTTAGGGGAAAAAATTATTTTAATGCTGAAAGAGATTTAAATAAAAATGATTCTTCATTTATCCAGAGGCCTCTGTTTTGGGCAACTTCATCTCTACAGGCAGCCAGAATAGATCTTACAAATTACGTGGATGTGATTTAAAGAGGATGAAATTCTTCTGAAGTTATTGTATTACTGAACATAATATCTTTCTTCACTGACTCAGCTTCACTATTGTTACCTGGTGTTTTGATGGTGGCGCGTAGGCACCTGGCACTCCCGCTGCCTTTTCCACTGCTGCCGTTGACACACTGCTGCTGATAGCAGTGTGATCACCCCTGCTTCCTTTCTGTTTCTTCTGTTTTGGTTCCACTCTAGGAAACTGTTGTTACTTTGTTTACTTCTTTGTCTTCCATTTACTAGACCATATGCTTCAGGAGGGCAAGGACACCACATGTGCCTCAGTCTGTTATTATGTTCCCTGAGCCCATAGTGCCCAAGACAAAACAGGTGCTCAGTAACTATTAAATGAATGAATTCAGTAGAGTCTGTAGCCCAAGTATTTAAATTGCTCTGTAAAAAAGAAAAAGAGCATAGAGTTTTGGTTAAATATGATCTGTTCAACATATGCATTTTTTAAACTGTCCAATAATTGGAATATAATTGTACATAATTCCCTGTTGGGTTGCCAAAGAAATAAGAATGTGTAAGAGATTCCTCACTATGAATGTCACTTGTATTATGCAATTTCATAAAAAATTCCAGTTGACAGTGTGAAAAATAAAAAGCCTTTTTAAATATTCAGACAAATGCTTAAATAGTAGGCTTTGTGGACTACACCAAAGTATTCTCTCTACAACAGCTTTAGTAACCTATTTCCTGAAATAGTTTCCACTGATAGGAACCATAATCTCTCTTTGCTCTGTAACTCAATAATGGGGATGTGATCCTAAATGGAATTTAAGTACTAACTAATAAACTCTGACTTAAGACAGGCATTTACCAGGAATTTTATAAATGCCCTTTTTTATTTGTATAGGTCTGTCTTTTGATAAGTTGAGTTGGTTGGTTTTTTGGATGGTGGGTTTTTTAATACGTTTTTTTTTTTTTTTAAGATTTTATGTATTTATTTTTAGAAAGGGAAAGGTAGGGAAAGAAACATCAATGTGTTGGTGCCTCTCACATGGCCCTTGCTGGGGACCTGGCCTGCAGCCCCAGTCTGTGCCCTGACTGGGAGTCAAACTGGCGACCCTTTGGTTCGCAGGCTGGCACTCAATCCACTGAGCCACACCAGCCAGAGCTAAATAAGGTATCTTTGAAATTTCAGTGCTACAGAAGCTGTTAGCCCATCCAGTAAAGACTCTAGGAAGAATTTGCGTAATACACTTAATAATATATGTGAAAGTTCCTGAATTAAGTGTCAGGTATCAGTATAACTAAGTTAAATCGCCTTTCAGTCATTCATCAAATATCTTTAAAAGTGATTAATTGTTTGACAATGTTGGGGTAGTTTGGGGAGATTTTTTTATTTTTAAATGTGACTTTTTGATGTTTTTTCCCCTTCTTAACATTTCCTAGAACAAACATAAGATCAGCTTTGTATGGAAAAAATAGGAGACTTAACTATTACAGGTTGCTCTTGGAGGAAAATACATAGCTGAGATTATTTTATAACAATGTTTTTAGTTTTTTGTGAGAAAATACATGATTTCAATATTTTGTAAAATGTTAATCATTCTATGTGTTTTGTTTCTTGTTAAAATTCAGACTTTCATTGAAGATAGAACCCGGGACCAGCACGCCACGCCCTGCTGCATCCAGGGAAGATTTAGGAGGTCAGTGCATCGCTTTCTCTCATCACCAATAGTAAGTCGGGTAACCTAATAAGAAAGAATATGCTCCAAAGTAAGTAAATACTTACCACATTTTATACTGCATACAAAGATTTATATTAACAGTAAAATTTCCTGCTTGGTATATTTTTGGTTTTTAATCAAAAAGTTGTTACTTGTAGTTTGTCAGTAATGGAGAAACCAATATTCCTTCTAATCAAGGAAAATAGATACCACAGGCAGAAAATAACAAGTGTTTATAAGTTAATCTGGGAGGTTTTGTTTGTTTTTTTAAGAATATAGTGTCCTAGGCAGTGAGTGTTGATTACATTAGAAATTTCTGTGGTCAAGTGGAAAAGTCTAATTTGAACAATTATAGAAGTCAATTTTAGTGAGTTTAATTTTTTTTTAATTTTACTGTAATGCTGGGTCAAGTACTGAAAATATTTAAAAAATAGTCATAGTCCCTTAATTTATCTGTTACATTATAATGAAGATTTTTTATATATACCACACATATTCAAAAATATAAAATTGAAGAGACTCATTATTTAAGAAAATATTGATAAGAACCTTCTTTAAAATGTTAAACACAGACCTTGGTAATAAGCTTCATGTTATTGTATGTTCTAAAAAATACTTGGAGACCCATCAAATAATGTTTGAAGGAAGTGAGGGACAAGCCATGACCATATCTAGGGGAAAAGCATTTCAATCTGAATACCTTAAATTGGCTTTTCTTAAAAGGGATATTTTGCAAATCTGTGTGCTTTTCAGTTCAATTATTTTATTCCCATAAGCTTGAACCATGTCAGCATATTTTTAAATTCTAATCTAAATGCTTGACGTGTTTCTCACCTGAAAGGAAGCTGAAAGTAAAAGTAAAGAAGCCCCGTGTAAAACTATTATAAATACTAGAGCACTGAACTGGGGCTTGGAATCCCGGAGCATCCAGTCCAAGGATCCTCTGGGGTGTGAGACCCTGAGCCCATCTCTTCTGATCCTGCTTCTTCCTCTGCAAAGGGGGAAGCATTTATACCAGCCACTTAGTGCACGTCAGGGAGAGAGAAGTCAGCGGATTTAGTATGCTTTGGGATTTTGTGTTTGAAGACTTAGAAAATAACTACTACTTATGTTCAGTCAGTTAAATGGAATCAACATTTTATGTGAATGTTTAAACCACGTTTTACATTGTACATGAAGGGATTAAAAATAAAACAATCTTTTGAAAATGTCTCCCCTCCTCTCTCTTTTTAAACTGAACCCGCAGGTCCTGAAGTGGGATCTCCGCAGAGTGGGAGGAAGAGCGTGGCCGCCGAAGGGGCCTTGCTGCCGCAGACGCTGCCCTCCCCTCGGAACCTGATTCCCCACGGCCACAGGAAGTGCCATAGCTTGGGTTATAAGTCAGCATCTTCAGTTTTATCTTTCCAACTTACACATTGTTTACTGTTGGATTTATTTCCTATTTATCATATTAACAGAAAATGGTGTCCTTTGATAGTTTTGTTTTTGTTTTTTCCTGTATACAATAGTACTTTTCTGATTCAGTAAAATACCTTGTTTGCCTAAAAGCATTGGAAATGAGCTTTTTCCATTAGTGTCTTCACATTTCGGGGAGATGAGTGAACATCACAGAGCGTCATTGTAAATAAAATCCGGAAAGCAATCTTCCATTTTACTTTTAAATTAGAACCTTTTTTTGTATCAAGACAGTTACTGCTTGTTTTAAATTAAGGTTTATAAAAATTGTTCTTTTTATCTCTAAGTATAAAGACTGGGAAATGATTTCATAATTAATTTCTTTAGGTTTGCAAGATTGTTTTTTCAGAATGGGCTCACTTTTGCCATGATTTTCATGAAAATTTACTAGCTATTTTCCAAAAGTGAATGGAAGACAATTTTTTAAGGACTTGTTACTTAGGTAGACATGGTTTCCTAAAATAATTTATCTGAACTATTAGTTTGAGGACTTCATAGGAAAATGTGTGTGTAGATTGCTGGTAAATCTTTTATGTCCTGCATCTTTATATAGAAGTGTCTTCTGTATCCTGAATTAGTAATAGTAATAAAAGATATCTTTCTTTGTTTCCAGTTTCATTCACAAAATGAACACAGCGGAGTTCAAGAGTGCGACGTTCCCAAATGCAGGGCCCAGGCATCTGTTAGACGACAGCGTCATGGAGCCCCATGCCCCCGCCCGAGGCCAAGCTGAAAGTTCTACTCTTTCTAGTGGAATATCAATAGGTGAGAAATATTTCTGGAAAAACGTCATTTGATAATTTTGATAAAATCTGCTAAAAGCAAAGTTTGATCAAAGAAAGTAGCCATTAGACATAGGGTGATCCTACTAATTCTGTTTTGGATGTGTCTGGTCCTCATGGAGTCGTCTGGTCGATAACAACGTGTGAGTCTGGAACTCAGTGGAAGGGAGGTCAGTCCGTAGATGAGCACATTTTAGTATTTCAAGTCATGGGACTGGCGGGGTCACCTAGGGAGAGAGTATAAATAAATAAGAGAGGACATTCTAATATTCAGAGGTCTGATTAATTACATTTTTAAAAAAGGCTGGGGTATCAAAGGAAACTATGAAAGATCCGTAAGGAGGGGCGAGGCAGGGGGCAGGAACCAGGTGTGGTACCGCAGAAGCCAGCAGAGGACGAGGAGGAGCCTGCAAGAGGAAGGAAGTAGGGAGTGTATCAGTTCTCAGATGCAGAAAAAGAGAAGATGAGATTGGGAATCTGTCAGTGGATCTGGCCAGAGCTGCTTCACAGGAGAGTGGGGACAGCAATAGCTCCCACGTAATGGAGCAGGAGGTGGGGACATACTGCAGAGGGATGTGAGTGTAACACAGGAGTTTGTTGTTTTCACTTCTTAAACTTTTATTTAGTCTCTCAGTCTTCTAGGTGAGCATGATTTCTCTGGATAAGAAGAAAATCCCCACACAATGCTATTTTTATTTTTAAAAAGAAATAAAAGAGGAAAACGTCTTCCTCTATGATTAACTGCCAGGTCACTCAAGGACTAAGCCTGTCGTCATTACTCGATCATCTCAATATTGATGAAGAATCGATAGAAATGCAAAAGGAGTTCATTTTCTTGAACACAGTGACTTCCTTAACCCTCAAGAGTTCCAGCCTCTGAGAACGAAATCGCTTTAGAGCTTCCCAGCACCATTCAGCAGTTTTTTATTCCCACAGCCCCCTTTTTATAAATGCAAATTGTTAAATGATGACAAAATCTATAAAATAGAAGACAAATTGGCCACCTGAAATATGACTGTTTATTAATGCTATAAGTTGCCTAAATGCAAATATCAATCTGAAAAATAATACACAGAATCATTTTGCAATAGAGAAAGAAAGAACTTTCCTCGGTTAAAAAATTTGTCACACATAGAATTCTCTTGCCACTCAAAGCAGAAAGTAATTTTAAAGTTAAAGCTCTCAAGTATATATTTGGCTTTTTCCCATCATAAATACTATCATGATAATTATTATTCTCTATTTCTGTATGGCTTTTTCATTCCAAAGATATTCTTTTGGTTACCACAAGACAGTTATCTAGTTACTCATTCAGTTACAGTTAGTGTCTCAGTTTAGAGACCTTTCTCTTAAAACAGGAAGAGACTAATTCAATTTGGCTTTGTATTTATTTTTTAATGGTTCTGTGACTCTTTAAGTAGATAAACAGTGAAGGTTGTTACATCCTTATTTGTATATTAAGAACATGAGCGAGCCCTGACTGCTGTGGCTTAGTGGGTTGGGCGATGTGCTGCTAACTGAAAGGTCGCCAGTCCAGTCACCAGCCAGAGCACAGGCCCGGGTTGCAGGCCAGGTCCCTGGTTGGGGGCGTGCGAGAGGCAACTGATGAATGTTTCTCTCACACACTGATGTTTCTCTCCCTCTCCTTCTCCCTCCTTTCTCCTCTTTCTAAAAATAAATAAATAAAATCTTTTTAAAAATTAGACATAGGCATTACCTCCTAGTGTTTTGTTTTAAAGCTTTAACAGTCTGAAAAGAAAGTAAGTTTATAACCATAAATGGTAGGTGTTAACGTACACAGACACAAATTTCATAATCACAGAAGGGTGTTTTCAGTCGTCGTAACTTATATACCACATTAGCCCATACCATAGAGGCTTGAGAAAGTGTTCTGGAGGAATTAACCAGTGTTTGGGACAGTGGCCTCCAATATTTTCTAATATGGTTGGATGTCCTAGGTGACCCAGAGTGGTCTTGCCTACCTAAAGGAGAAGTAGCCGCTGGGAGCTTCTTGCTTTTGAAAAAGCTTACATCTTCTACAAATTAGCCATACTACTTATGCTTGAATTTCTGTCCTTACCACATAATGCTACAAATCAAAAGATCATCTGTAAGACCCACCGGCAGGTTACCTCCAGGTTCTCATCTGAACCGTTACGCCCGATTTCTCACCTGGAGCACATAGCCAGAAGATGACTCCAGTGGCTGCTTACTCAGTTTTTACAAGGATGGCGCATAGCTAGTGCCATTCTCAATACTTAGAAGAGGCGTTGATGCATCACATGTAATGGATGCCTATAGCGTTAGCGTTTGAGTCCCCTGGAGAGCTGGTTGTGACAGTCTGGTGCAGCTCAACTTGCTGCCGAAGGGGCATGTTAACACTTTTAGCCAGAGTTATCTGTACTCAATCTAAGCTGCTTTGGCCTCTCCAAATGCATTCCCCTCCTTTTTCAAATATGTGGATGCTCACCCACAAATAACATCATTCTCATTTTATACTCACAGTTAGAGAAACTATTTTTAAAGTTAAAAAAACTCAAACTCAAACTGTAATTCTGATGTTTAAAAAATAGAATAACTTCTGATTTTAGGTAGCAGTGATGGTTCTGAACTAAGTGAAGAGACCTCATGGCCTGCTTTTGAAAGGTAAGAAAAATTGTACATTTTGAACTGCTTTGAGTTTATTTTGTCTTTCTGAAAATATATGAATAATATAGTTCACATATGATCATAGGAATTTTAAGAGATAATATTTGTTACATATCTTTAAGGGACTATTTGAGCTTTCTGTTGATGGCAGAAATTAGACGTTGATATTTAAGTTTGGAATTGAATCTTACCTAATACATACATGTTTATTTGGTGGCTTGACACATGTATATGAATTTTAGTACATTTAAAATGTACTAAATTATAGTATATTTTAGTACATTAAATTTTTAGTACGTCAAAGCCGTCATCAGCCTGCTGCAAATGTCATGTTATATTGATCTTGCAATATAAAATTTACACTGTTTGGCTACAATTAAAAATGTAAATAATGCAAATAATTGTTATTTACTCAATGATCATTAGGGCTTTTATATTATCCTTGACCATTTCAATTCGGTCATTTTTATACATATAAGATACTTGACTCTTGACCAAAATAATCACTCTTTTTTGTTACATACAAAGCAACCTAAGTGTCTAAACAGGAGTGTCATTTAGATTGAATTTTAAATGCCATAGTAAAACTGAAATATTTAGTTACTTCATATCAGTGACTTTTACTAGAAAATAGTTATGCTAAATATATACTTAAAATCACAGTGTATTTGAATTTTTGTTTAATTGGAGAATTGTATACTCATTCTTGATGACCCTTTATAAAGGATTCTCACCACTATGCAGTTAAGGTTTTACTTGTAAACCCAGTGTTTTAAAGTATTACTAAGCCCTTCTACACTCTCAGTGTTCCCAAGTTTTCTTCTCTTTGTTTTGGGGAATTCTTAACAATTTGTTTTTGCATATTATTTTTCTTCCAGCTTTTACTTTCAGTCTCTTTATTTGGATTTGCTTGGGTTTGCCTAAAATGGAAAAACAAAGGAGTTGTCTCTGGCATACACTGTCTGTACAGATTGTCTTAGTTCTTTGTCTAGAAAGAGCATAACATCATCATGTTGACTATAAAAATGTACTGTAATCTTTAAATTAAAATTATCAATGAACTAAACTGTTTCTCAGATGGCTTGAGATATGAGTGAGTAACCAGAATGGTGTGGATAATTGTTCTCATCCCAGCAGGTTATTTTCAAAGACAGTGTTTAATGCTGTTACCTTCACATCTGAAAACAACATTCTTTTTATGACACATGTTTTGCTTTGCAGACATTTGCAGCTAAAAACAATCTACCATACTTGTGCCAAGTTTAAATTAGTGGCTTTTGAAACATTTGAAAAGCAAATTAATACTGCCCAGCAAGATTCAGACGTGCAATAATGATAAGTGAATAAAGAACTAGGATTTAAAATATCACCTGTAGATAATGAACTTGAAAATAGTATTCTGAATGTCAAGGATGCCATTTCCTGTTCTTACTACCTGGAGAGACATCAAATATGTTGCTGCCTCAGTTGCTAAAATAATGCTTTTTGTTTTAAATATCACTTACCAACATGCTACTTTTGGCTTTCCCCAGGCAAAGAAGTATCAGTGTTTCTATGTGTATGTTCATTTCCTTTGTTAAGTATTACATGCCATTTTGGATTAAATATTAATTCATACCATTTTTATCAGGGTTTTATAATTTATTTCCATTGATATGGAAATAAAATAATGCCTTTATTCATTTTATTTACTCAGTTTATCTTTTCTGTTTTCTTGGACTTACTAAAAAGGATAGGGCGGAAAATAAGGTGTTTTGGCAGCATTAATTTTAAGTCTGCAGACCACATTGCTTTTAGGTGTCTTCATAGGGACATACCACGCAAGTGAATTATTTTCTATGAACCTAGCTGTCATACTTAAACTGTAATCCAACTACTGGAATAGGGAAAAAAGGGATCTTTGAAGTAGTTTTCAGGTTTTGATAGTATTTGGTTATAAACTGCTCTTTAAGTATTTTAGCAGATTTGTGAAAGTGAATATATATAAATGTATGATGTGTACTAAACACCTATAACTAGCATCAATAGTAAAAGAAACAACTTCTTTAAAATCTATGCTGCATGTTTTAAAAAAAACAGTAACATACTAACCTTCTGTAAGATGTAGAAAGCTTTGTTACACGAAGAAGTCATGATACTGTTCTAGGTACTGATGACCGTGTGAATTAAAGTATATGTAATATATACAATTTATAATGGAATCCAACAGGAACAGATTATACCATTCTCTCGGCCCGATGACACGAGTGGCACGAAATGGCCATCGGAGCCACGTGAAGGCCAGCAGGTACAAGTCCCCTGCATTCAGGGGTCACGAAACCCCCCTCTGGTGTTGGTGACTGGCTTACATGGGTGTGGTCTCACGTAATTTCTCTTCTTTCTCAACTAACTGGTTTAAAGACAATGCCCAGGAAACTTTGCAAGATTTAATCTAGACATAAATTTGAACTATTCTTTCTGATCCACAGAACTAATTGCTAAACTTTCATCTCTATGTCATATTTTAAAAATAATTCCACGTTAGTTTTTTCATTGCTTTTAGGGAGTGAGGAAATGGAGAGAGGAAAGGGGGGAGAGAGAGAGAAACCTCGATGTGAGAGAGAAGCATCAATTGGTTGCCTTCTGCATGCGCCCGGATCCTACTCGCCCAAATGGCACCCAAACCAGGCATCAAACCCACAACCCAAGCGTGTGCCCTGACCAGGAATCAAACCCACAATCCTTTGGTTAAGGGACAGTGCTCCAACCACTGAGCCATACCAGCCAGGGCCCAAGTTGGTAGCTTTTTAACTGCACAGGTCTTTCTAATGCTGCTAGTGACTCGATGAGCAATACAAAAATCCACTTCTAGCCTTAATCAAAGGCCACAGTCAAAGAAGTGACTTTGCTAATAAGCATACATTAAATTTGCCTTTCGAAAGAACTTTTTAGAAAAACTGCAGGTTCTGAATTTAGAATAGTCTATATCATTAAATCAAACTTGGTATTTAAATGCATGTTCATTACATTGTTCATCTAGTTATCCTGAGTCCTCTTTCTATACTGTATTAGCTTCAGACAAAAATGAGGGTGATATAGATTGATTTGCTGGGTGCTAGAGGTTAATGGTAAAGGGTAATCGGTCAATTTGTAATACAACAAAATAGCCAACTTTATCAGTGAACTTGATGTCATTTTGATGGTGTCTAACCTCTTTTTTGTATACCTCTATGAATATAAATAGCTCTAGCCTGAAATTTCTAATGGTTTCTAGGCTCTGAAGTCACTCTGAAGACACCTAAATAATCCATAAAGGGATAAATTAGCAAACATCAGTTTTTGTTCGCTGTTGTAAGAATTCTGCAGCTCAAATCAGATCACCAGAGAATGACAGATTTTTATTAATGTATGTGTTTTAATTGATTCATGTGGAAATTACTCTTGTTTCAAATATAGGACCTTAAATCAATTGGGGAAAGATATTTAAATGTTGGTAATTTTATGATGGTTTTTCTTAAGCTATATGGAAAGGAAATCTTGGGTTTTGGAGTTAGGCTGTGTGTATAATCAAAAACTTATGCCTTGATAACATTTAAATGTAATTAAAATTGCAGAAAGACAGTTGTTTTATGTTGTTACTGCTTTTTTACTTCACCTGTTTTAGAGTTAAATTAAGTGTGGGTTTTCTTTTTCCTTTTTGAGCTTTTATTAACTTTATTTTGTGTTTTATATGCTTAAATACTTTTAACAAATTTCTTCACTTTTCCTCTAAGGACTTAAAGTTTCTAATGGGGGAAAAAGTTTACAGCAGTGATGCAATGTGTTAAGAAGAACAGTCTCAGATCTTTCATTTAATCTTTAATTAAGTCAACTACTCTATTCTTTTTAAATTATACTTGTTCAAATATGTAATAACGTGTGTGGTTTTAATTATCTGCTGACTTTAATAACTTCCTGAATACTTCTGTAACAGCGTATAAATTTCAGATCAATAATCCATAATAATTCAGTGTCTTCTCATTCTGAATAAAGTAACAAAGTTTTAAAATAAAGATTAATTAAATTTAAGTGCCTATGATAACTGCTATACACAAAAGCTCTTACCTTGTTTTTTCTTTATTTCATCATTATAGTTCTGCAGAATCGGAAGATTTGGCAGTACATTTATATCCAGGAGCTGTTACTATTCAAGGTGTTCTCAAGAGAAAAACTTTGTTAAAAGAAGGCAAAAAGCCTAAAGTAAGATTTTATCATTATATTTAAATACTTCTAAAATCTATAAATGTATAAGACCTCCAAAAACATGAAGACAGTTGAAATAAAACCAGGTACATAGTACACTTGAAGTAATTTAAGATACACATTTGCCCTGCTATGTTTTTTTCATTTAGATTTCAGTTAAATCATATATGTAGGGTGCTTAAATTAAGGTGCTCTCACGCTCCTCTTTGCCCTCTAAACTTTGAAGTACATAGTGTTAGGAAGTATTTTAGTAGTAAGTTTAGGAAAAATAGAGAATAGGAAATAGCAAACCTAAAATGGAATTCAGCCAACTTGTTTGTCAGTTTTAAGTTGTTTAACTCGGTAATGCAGTTTTGTTTTCCCATATGAAATAGAACCCAGATATTAAATGTCCTTCAAACCATAATTGCATTAAAAAAAAAGTTTGGTGGAACAAAGCTTTTTGACATGTAACACAAAAGTTGTTTTCCCCAACAACGGCACAGTAGTTTGATGACTAAAGATTTTTTTTCTCAACATGAAAGCTAGTTTGGAAAGAAACCTTGACATATATCCACACTTAAAGTTTTTGAAGATTCTAGAGCTTCTTAAAGTCTAAAACTCATTTACATCTCAGCGGTCTGAGTTTTGCTGCTTACATTACAACCAAGCAGCTGCAGGAGACCAGCTAGTGAACTGAGCACAGCCCTCCCCTCACCCCCGACCGTGCTGAGGCCTCAGCACACCTGAGGGCCTCCAGGGGCCTGCCCGGGGGAGGTGGCAGGTCCAGGGTAGAGAGCAATGGGGGATGCGGGGTCAGTAGAGCAGGTGAAAGAGGGGACATCAGAGGGAGGCTGGGGCTGCTTGAAGATGGCGAGATGCGTTGTGAGAGAAAGAGGGGCGTGAAGATCACATCTGGGTCTGGGGCTGAGCTGGGTGACTTGATGGGGACATTTACCGAAATTGGGAAGGTTTGTTTCTTTTTGTTTTTTGGTTTTGTTTTTGAGAAGGGGCAGGTGAGTCGTGGCCAAGGTCAGTTTGATATACTTATTATTAGGCTTGTAAGCGGAGATGTCAGCTTGGCTCTTTAAGAAGTACAGTGAAACGTTCAGCAGAGAGGTGGCGGCCAGAGACGGCGACTCAGGAGCCATGGGCATGCAGATAGTGGCTGACATGGGGGCTGGCGAGAGAGACAGACAGCCTGTGCGGAGAGCACCGCCGGGAAGAAGAGGCGGTGCGGGCAGCAGGGTTGGGCCTCCCGGGAGCGCGGCCGGGAGGTTCACGGGTTTGGACGGGGAGTGGGCGTCTGCTGGACCTCGCCGCAGAGGCTCGGCGCGACGGGGCCGGCGTGGGATGGGGAGGCCGTGGCAGTCTCAGTTACAGTAGAAACTGATGGGGTCTTTGATGGCATCAGTAATCCGGATGAAAGTGCTAGTAGAGTACGTCTAGTGGAAGAGATAGGAGTGTTGGAGTTGACGCTCCAGAGTGAGACAGCGGAGGGGCTGGAGCTGCGGGGCGTGGGCACCGCGAAGGCCGGGGCGCCAGCGCTGGGCACTCACGCCTTGTCCTCTCCAGGTCACCTCCTGGACAAAATACTGGGCAGCTTTGTGTGGGACACAGCTTTTCTACTATGCTGCCAAGTCTCTCAAGGCTACAGAAAGAAAACATGTAAGTACCCCTCTCCCCAGCCGGTGGCAGGGTTTTGCAGCCCCTTCACGGCTCTAAGCCTGCAGTCCTGGTGGAGTGCACCCGCTGGGGCTTTGTTCCGGATGCTAAACCAGAAGTTCTTACACCTCTTCCCTGAGTGTTATAATGGAATTATTTTTTATTTGTAAGACCATTCCAAGGAAAGTCCTGGAATAACTTCCATGTTTTGAAGTTTCTTTTCTGAATGCTAGTTTTTTCCTTTGCAAATGTCAAAAGCGCACGTTACAAATACCTGTCTGGGCATCAAAGCCTTCCGAACCGGGTTTCTTGCTCGGAAGGCGGTGGAAGACCATTGCCTTGGAGTCTCGGCTCTAATGTGAAAAACTGCAGACATCATGTAAAGAACTTTCCACCTCAATTTCTGATTGAGTGATTTTTCCCAGCAGTGAGAAGGAATAATAGTTACCATGGTTACTGTGCTCCACTTTCTAGTGCTTTGTGTTATGTAAAAGAAGCCTTAATGCTCATTTCTCCAAATGTAGAATCTTTCTGTAAATCTTTTTTGCATGCTGTTTTGTTTTTATATGCCAGTGATATATCTTTGAAAGAAAGAGTAATTATCTTTGTTTCATTAGTAAATCTCTCCAAGAGGAATTTTATTTCTAAGTCATGTATTCTCTGGGGAAACGAAGTGGTTTAACATACTGAAGAAAGATAAGCCACTAAAAAAATTGTCTTTTTACTACTTCTGAGTTTACCCAAATAACACTGTGTAATTCTTTATCGTCAGGTTAGCCCTTTGATCAAACCAGAGGCGTAGAGCGCGTGTTTTTGGCTTAAACGAATGTGGAAGGTGCCGAAAGGCAGCATCGGCTTCCTTCTCAGCCATACACACGGCTTGTCACTGTCCTGGATCCCGTGTTAATCACTGCCTTGCTATTCTTCTGCTGACCATGTTTCCTTAAACAACAGCACGGTGCTTCCTTTTTTGAACTGTACCTGAGTAAAATCATATAAATCTCGAAGCACTGGCTTTTTTGTTCACTGTTAGGTTATAATTGTTTAGATGAAGTCCTCACATTGAGGTAAAGAACCTTTTTTTTTTTTTTTTTTTTTTTTTTGGTCAAGTTGCCCAAAATGCCTACATACAAACAAAGTCACATAGAGTAGTTTCACTGAAATACTTTGCAGAGTAGTTGCCTCTGTTTAGTATTGCTGTACTCAAAGGGGGAAAGTCGATGTGGTTAACTCTTCACAGAGCCACTTTGAAACCAGTGGCTGGATTTCTCTGATTATGAAGAAGTAGCTATTCAAATTTTAAAAAAAGTTTTTTAACTTTGAATATAAAGAAGCCAGATTAGAGAATTGATAACTAAATATGTTGTCTACTGCGAATGTTAAATATCTTTTTGTGTTTGGTGTTGCTGCTTACAACATTATGATAGTTTTGATTTTTAATTATATGAGGTTTTTGATAAATATATATGAAATATTAAAAATTAGAGTATAGTAAATTGTAAGGAAATTAAATTACATACCAAAGGAATACACTGTATTCCTCATCTTTTTAGTTAAAACTGTTAAGATTAAAGAAAGAATTGTAAGAGCAAAATAGATGGTATAGAGCCAGGTCCATATTTATATTTTAGGATAGAAGAGATAAGGTACAGATTAAAAGCAATGAGGGGAACAAAATTTAAATACAAATTGAAAGAAAATGTTGGCTCTGTATAAGCAACTGATAAAGGATTAAAATCTATTACATAAGCATGGCACCACCTATGTAGTATTCTTTCCAAAAACTTAACCTGAATCTAATTGTGAGGAAACCATTAAATCCAGATTGTGGGACATTGTACAAGGTAGCTGGCTTGCATTCTTAAGGCCAAAATTTGACAGATGGAGCAGGATAGAGGTGAGGAAGACTCTCAGAGTAAAAGAGACTAAAGGGTATTGACAGCTAAATGCAAGGTATGTACCATGGTTGAATCCTGGAGGGAATTTTTTTTAAACTATAGAGGACATAATTGGGACAATTGAAGAAATTTTAACATGGACTTTATATGGTTGTGTCTGTTAAATTCCTTAGATATGATACATTGTGGTTTATAGGATTATATCCTTACGGCATACATGTTGAAATAGTTAGAGTTCAATGTTACGGTGTCTGTGACTTGTATTTAAATGTTCAGAGAGATCAAGCAAATGCAAAATGTAGGTATGTGGGTAATTATTGTAGCATTTTTTTCAACATCTCTGTAGTTTCAGCCTCTTCAAAATTAAAAGCTGGAGGGGGAAAAATCAATAAGGAAAATTTACTTGTTTATATATGTATAAACACAGAAGGAGGAAATCTAGAATCCTGCACACACATTTTTTTACTCTGTGTGTGTGTGTGTGTGTATTTTTGGCTTTTTGCCCCTGAGGAACAGGGTAGGCTTGGGAAGGTAGAGTAATAGGAGCAAGAGAAAGGGGACTATTATTTTGTTATGTCTATGATTTTGAATGTTTTAAAATGAAAACACTCACTGTAAAAATATTCTTAATGGAAGTGTATTGTGTGACTATTATAAAAAAATATTTGTAGATATATTTGAACCGATCACTGCATGGCAGTGAATGAAGCAACAGCAACAACAACAACAAAATACACAAACACCAAAGCAAAGCAGAAAAAAAATTTGATGGGTGCAGCGGAGACAGCCCCCACCCCCACCCCGGGACCCCTCGGTGGTCCTTGCCTCTGTGGCTCTCCTGCTCTGAGCTTGTGAGCCTAGGTCAGGCTCCCAGCTTCCCTTTTCAGGACACTAACTAAACGGAGACTGGGAGCTCTCCGAGATTTTGAGAGACGCGACCTCCTTCTCCGTGAGTGTTCAATCAACTCATTATGAGAGGCAGTCGTGCGGGTCAGGTTCCCATTGACTGGACCAGTTTCCCGACGGCCTCACCTCATTCTGCAGCTGCAGCTTCTCTCCCTCTTCCTGATGGGTCTGCTGGCACGGACGCCTCCCGCTTCTGGCTCTGCTTTTCTGTGCACTTGACCTGCTCGTTGGAGGTCTGCAGTGCCATACCCTGCTGGGCTGTGGTCACTGCCCAGGGTTCCAGCTGCTCCAAGCGCCGCTACCACATTGCCACCCATGCCTGCGCACTTTAGCGCGTCAATTTTAGAATCAGTTTCTCAAGTTCCCTGTGAAACCCTATTGGAGTTTTTCTTGAACTGACCCTGAATCTCTAGATCAGTTTAGGGCTAATTGACATCTTTACAATAGAGAGCCTCTGTCTTGATCTCACAGGGTTTCTCCATTGATTTTAGATCTTCTTCAGTGTCTTTTTAACTGTTACACTTTCTGGTATGTCTTTTGTTACATGTTTTCCTAGATGCCTTTCTTATAAGCAACTTCTATATTTTGAGTGTATAGAATTACAGTTGGCTTTCATATTGATCTTTTCTAGGCATCCTCGCTAGTGTTTCTTATTAGTTTGGTAGGGTTGGATAGATTTCTGAGTAGATAATATCATCTGTGTGTAATGGCGGTTTTACTTCTTCCTCGCCCTTTTATTTCTTTTTTGTTATCTTGCTGAGGTGACTGGGTAGCACTGGTGGGCATCCTTACCTGAGTACTGATTTTGAAATGTTTATAGCATTCTACCCTTACATGTATGTTGCAGAGCTCTGGGGGTTTTCTGCTTTGTTTTGGTCTGGCTTTTGTATGAGTATGTTGCTGCTGCTGCTGCTGCTATTTGTGCGGTAGGTATCCCTGTTGAATGAGAAAGTTTCCTTCTTTTCCTAGTCTGTCACAAATATGTATTTATATTTCAGCAAATGCTTTTATTTTACATCAACTGAGTTGATACTTTTCTCTCTTAATCTGTTAATATGGTGATTTATAATACTTTTTTCTAAAGATGAACTAACCTCATTTTCTTGAAATCAACCCAGCTTCCCTGCTTTAATTGACTTCGAACATTAAACCAACCTCACATTCCTGCAATAAATGCGGTTTGGTCATCATGTATCAGCTTTTTTATACACTGCTGGATTCAGTTTGCTAATATTTAATGTCTTTTATTTTGTTCATGAATGAAACAATCTCATTTTTTCTATTCTTTTATAATCTTTCTTCATTACTAAAGTGTAACGTTAAAAAACACTCAGATGTTGGTGAGGAGTTGAAGCTGGGAAAGACCTGGAAATCAGGGACCCTCTCGAGAGGGCGTGCCTGGGCGGGGTTTAGTAGTGATGGGCCCTGAGCACACCTGACCAGCAAGAAGGCACAGACCTCGACTCTCACCGAGAGAAACTGACCGCATGCTCCCTGACACTTAAATTCTGCTTAGGATGAGCCATCGAGATAACCATTAATCATCTTTTTACCTCTCAGTTCAAGTCAACGTCAAATAAGAACGTGTCTGTGGTAGGATGGATGGTGATGATGGCGGATGACCCAGAGCACCCTGACCTCTTCCTGCTGACTGACTCTGAGAAAGGTGAATCCTGAGAACCGCCAGGGGTCAGGGGCTGCCTATCCGTGACTTCCAGCGAGCCAAAGCCCGGTGTGACTGGGTCGCTGGTTCACTGGGGGAAGCCTGGTGTGGTTTTGTCTCTTGGGAAATAGTTCACATAATGTATAGTAGTAATATCAATATTTTAGTTATCAATTAATGTTTATTAATTGCTTACTTAATCAGCTTATTTTCTTTGCTGCAGGGGGCATAAGCTTGAAATTAAAAGTCCAGGTAATCCCTAGAGAGCTAAAAACCAGGGAGGGAAGGAGGAATTTTGAGAGTCTGTTGGCCACTGTTGGCTTTAAAATCTCAGTGCTTTGCCATGTACACAGTATGCCTTCATTTATCCTCTGAATTAAATTGTTAGGCTGTGAATGTGGCAGAGCTTTTCCTGTAAATTATCTTTATGCCATTATTTTTAATCAAGTTAATCGTTTGACTTGAAGCACTGTCCAAAGAAGTATAATTTAAATTATAATACTTCGCTTATGACATAGAGACGTTTATGAATAAAATAATTGGCTGTCGATCTTGCGAGTTTTTAAAGTGGATGTAACGAGTTGGAGGGTGGCCGCGTAGAATCACCTGTACCTCCTGCCCCTGCTCGTGCGTGAGGGGAGGCCTCAGGCGGTCACCAGCACAGAGCCTTCGATAGAGGGTTAGATGAAGAAGAGGTGGTGCATTCCCCCCCCCCCCCACGATGGGATAGTACTCAGCCGTAAGAAAAGACAAAATTCTGCCTTTTGGAACAACATGGGTGAACCTTGAGAAATCATGCTAAGTGAAATAAGTCAGAAAAAGCTAAGAACTGTACGATTTCAGTCATATGCAGGGTATAAAACTGAAAGGCTTGGACACAGACAGCAATGTGGTGGTTGCCAGAGGGAAGGGGGTGGGAGAAGTGGGGGGTAGAAAGGGCCTAATATATGGTGATGGAAGATGCTCTGACTTTGAGCAGTGGGCACACAGTGCAACATACGGATCACGTATTGTACACTTGAAACCTACATGATCCTATTAACCAGTGTCACCCCAGTATGTTTAATAAAAATAAAAGTAGTACTGACAAGAACAGAAGGAACAGATCCTAACACGACAGCTGCTCTGCCCTCCTAACACTGCCGGCTGCTGAGGGGCGCCCCAGGGGGAGCCAGCAAGGAGCTCCCCTCTTACCTGCCCCAGCTCTTCCCTCCGCAGCGCACAGCAGAAATGTTTTGTGGGCTTTTGTGGGCTGTGTGGTTGTATCTCGACCTTGGCATATTCAGAATGTATTTCCTGTCAACAGATAATCTGCTTTTAGGGTACTCTGGTGCTTTAAGTAAAAACACCATTAATACACATACAAATCCAGAGAAGCCAATTTTATTGAGATATACTTTAAACAACACTGAAGGAGACAGAATTACTTCTCTTCCGGTTCACAGACAGCAAAGCAGTGACTTGCGTGAGGGAGGCCACAGGAATGTGGCTGAGAGACTCTTGGTGGCAGGCAGCTGGGTGTTAGCACTCTGAAACTAAGAACTCGAGGCTCGCTTTATTTTGCTCCTTCAGAGGTGGCAGAATTATTATTATTTCACCCTTGTTTTTGATAATTTCAGGAAATTCATACAAGTTTCAAGCTGGCAATAGGATGAATGCAATGCTGTGGTTCAAGCATTTGAGTGCCGCCTGCCAAAGTAACAAACAACAGGTGAGCATTTCTCTTAATCCTCAAATAGTCCGTAACTTGGGCACGTGTTTAGGAGCTCCAGTGAGAAGTAGATTAATGTCCCAAGAGCAGCGGGTGAGTGGTTTTGTTCTTTTTCTTGTTGACAGCATTTAGCAAGACTTGAATTCTATATGTTAGGAAGATGGGCAATAAACAAATGAACAAATAACAAAGTTTCAAATAGTGAAAACTATACAAGAAAACAAAACAGAATTATGTGATAAAGATTGATGGGAGTAGAGACAACTTGAAATCAATAGGAGTGAGCAGCAGAGGTTTCCCTAGGGAGATGACATTGATGTGAAAGACGAGAAGGAGCTGCGGCATGAAAACTAGGGGACCAGAGTTCCCGCAGAGGGGACAGAGTGCAGAGACCCTGGCGCTGCAGTGGGCTCAAGGCATTCAGAACAGGAGAACGCCACTCGTGCTGGCAGGGTATAGAGAGCGGCAAGGGCATGCGGTCCTGGAGGGAGGGAAGGAAGGGGCGCTTCGCGCTGATAAAGCTCATTTTGATTCGTCTTTGTTCTGCAGATGACCTGACATGCATTTCTGTGGTTGCTGTGAAACCCAGAACCACTTGGATTTGTTTATATTTTACTGAGAAAAGACTTTTCAGCTGCAAAGAATAAATCCATAGTGTTGTTATCCCCAAGCGCTGTTGGCGGATTTAAAGTTGAACCATGAATTGGTTGAACAGACATAAAGTAGCATAACTATAGTTACGGATATTTCTGTAGACTTTTTTAGACTAGTTTTTAGTTGAATAGATTTGAGAATCATTGGCTTAAGATACTAAAATACAGTGCTATCAGTAGCTGATTGTAAGTAACATAATTTACTATGTAAGTTTATAAAGCTTATAAAAGTGTTTTTCCCCCTGTGAAATCAGGACCCCTTTTTATGGTAAAGGAAGACTTAAGGCTCAAAGGTGCTAAGTGACCAATACAAGGTCAACCAAGTAAAAAGGTGGGTCTGAGGTGTAAACTCTGTCTTCATGCCAAGTATTGTTGGAATGGGCCTTGTTTGTTTACAGATTTTATTTCAGATACATATGAAAGACCAGCGGCAGTATTTGCTACCACTTTTCACAGTCTCCATTAAGGACATGAAAGGCCAGATTTCAAGATTAATCTAAGCAGTGTATGCATATAAGCATAGAGGTTCAGTTTCCTTAACTGTGTCAGCCAGATGTGTGTGAATGGCATTTGTTTGTTTCTATACTTGCAAGAATCAAAGTCATACCAAATTTATAAATAGAAGGTGTGAAATTTGAATATTTAGTAGAAGACTCTAACTGACTCATACAGCATCTTAAACCACGTTCAGGCAACCTTGGAGGAAATGAAACTTTTACTTTAATAATGGGTTTCTTATAACCAGGCCTGAGAGTTTATACTTTAACTTAAGCTTATGAGTATTTGCATTGTATTTGATTTATAAATCAGTTATGATCATATTTTTCATTCAGAATAATTTTTCATTCAGAAACACATATAGGAGGTTAATTATTTTCAGTATCTTAGGTTTTTAAAATAAAGATTGCTGAAGAGTGAGAGCTGTTTGCTTCTTTTTTAATCCTCACCCGAGTATATGTTTATTAATTTTAGAGGGGGAGAGAGAGAAACATCAACGTGAGAGGGAAACATCAGTTGGTTGCCTCCCATGCCCACCCCATCCAGGGCTCAAACCCACAACCTTTCGGTGTATAGGCCAACGCTCCAACCAACTGAGCCACCTGCCCAGCGCTTTTAAACTTTTAAAAGACAGAAATGACCACTGATGTATGAGTATCTACTAACACAGCTGTGGAAATTTGGTAGTAAAAAATAAGGGCATTTTTTTAAAAATGGCGAAACCCTCTCTTAGTCCTTGACTAGAGAACTCATCAAATAATTTCAAAAAATAAAATATATTTATGTATCAAAGAATCACTGTTGAATTTTGAACTTGGAAGAAGTTAAATTGCATTTGATACCATCTATAAGCAGTACATTGTTGTATAACGGGTAACCTATTGATTTTTCGGAGTCATGAAGTATCTCATCAGATCATCTAACAATGAATTTTATTCCTTCATACTTAAGTTCGTGATTTCACAAATTTTAGTAATGTTTGTTATAAAATTATCTGTTCTGGATTTGAAAATTGGGGCATGTAGGAATTCAGATACTCACAGATGAGAAAATAAAGACCAACAAGCTTTTGTTTGTCTGAACTCTCACCCTACGAAGAGCCGTACTTGCTCGCTCACTCAGCGAGCATCTGCTGGGCCCTCGTGTTAGATGGGAACAACGCTGACCTTGCCCTTCCTCCCACCCAGACTCCAGTTCACTAGAAAGAGAATATTTATTCATCTCAGTACTTTTCCTCCAAAAATGTTTTAGCATATTGTATTGATTACTCATAAATGATTACAGGACCTTCTATCACATTCCTTTTTTGACAAGATATTTTGTGATTGCAGGGGGAGGTGCAGTGGGTGGAGGTAGAAGACAGTTCAAGGGGGATAAATGGTAAGGGGAAAACATACAAAAAAATAAACTTAAAAAATGTTTTTTAATATTTTAAGGGGGTCAAATATGGTGACAGATTTGATTTGTGATGGTAAACACAGTGCAATGTACAGATGATAATATTATAGAATTGTACACTTGAAACCTTATAGGCTTATTAACCAGTATCACCCTGATAAATTTAATTTTTTTTTTATTTTTTTTTTAAGATTGTATTTATTTTTAGAGAGAGGAAAGGAGGGAGAGAGAGGGAGAGAGAAACATCAATGTGTGGTTGCATTTTGTGCATCCTCTGCTGGAGACCTAGCCTGCAACCCAGGCATGTGCCCTACACTGGGAATCAAACCAGCAACCCTTTGGTTCACAGGCCAGCGCTCAGTCCACTGAGCCACACCAGCTAGGGCTAATTTTTTTTTTAAGATACTTTAGGTCAGGAAGATTTTAATATTTGGGCTCACTTAAAATGACAAAAAAGATAAGAAATAGGACTTTGAAAAACAACTTTTAAATACTGTCAGTTTGTGGATGGAACTGCCGGGTATTGTCCTAAGTGAAGAGAGTCAGGCAGGGAAAGACAAATGCCAGATGATTTCACTTACATGTGGAATCTAAAAAACAAAACAGACTCATAGACACAGAGACCAGAATGGTGGTTGCCAAAGAGGAGAGTAGTTGGGCAAAAAAGGTAAAAGGATAAAGAAGTACAAATTGGTAGTTACAAAATAGTCATGGAAAGTATAGTTAGTAATATTGTAGTAGCTATGTGTGGTGCCAGGTGGGTACTAGACTCATCAGAGAGAGGGCAAGGGAGGGAGGAAGAGATTGTGAGGAACATCGGTCAGTTGCCTCCCGAATGTCCCCAGTCAGAAACCTGGCCCACAACGCAGGCATATGCCCTGGCCGGGAGTCAAACCCGTGACCCTTCTGTCTGTGGGATGACACCCAACCCACTGAGCCGCACCAGTCAGGGCGCTTCGTAAGTTATATAAAGGTTGAATCATGGGACTGTACAACTAAAACTAACATAATATTGAATGTTGGTTGTAATTGAAAAGATTTTAAATGTTTCAATATAAATAAATACTATCACTTTGTAATGCTTACCGTATATTTTATAGGTTCCTACAAACTTGATGACTTTTGAGTAAAAGCCTCAGAAAGAAGAGAGGTGAACTGTTGTTCCCAGTGAGAGCGGGGACCTGTGGGGCGAGCGTGGGTTGAAAACCAGCCCTGGGCCAGGGAGAGCCCGGAGCTCCCAGTGCAGCCTCAGAGTTCTGAACCAAAACAGCACTAACTTCAGGGAATGAAGCAGGACATTCCCGGAGAACCAATTGGAGTTGCAGAACAAACTGCCATGGACCATGCTTCTTATCTCGGGACTGACCTGTGGAAACCACTGCCTTAAAAGAATGAAAGGAAAACCACCATGCAACACCAAATAGTGTGTGTGAATCTTTTGGCGGTGCTGTGCTTGGAATAGATTGTAGTTAATTTGCATTTCTTTTAACTTTGTACTAATTTTGGAGGGGGCGGGGATCGCCTTTTTTAGATACACTTTAAAAAGAAAAACATCTTCCCAATGGGTTACGTCAGGAGCTGGTTCTGAACCAAGGCGCAGACCCTCCAGCGGGCAGGGCTCGGCTGGCAGCAGCCTCCCCTAGCCTGGGGCCTCCCTCGCGCCCCCACAGCGAGCGCCTAGGGATCAGAAATGTTGTCATGTGAGTCGCTGGGACTTTGTTTGGGACGTTGGGAGGGTCTTTGTTTGGTTTTGGATGAGGGAAGATATTTTTAAACACTAAACTTCTGAAATTTAGTACTGTATGGGGAACATGACTTCCTGCAGGAGGTACAAAGGCTGAGTGTTCACATGCCAGATGCTTTTTTTCAAGTGGGCTCCAGAAAACATGGTTGTTTTTAACTGGCTTTAAATGTAGCTTTCTATATGAATTCATTGTTGGACCACAGATCTGCTTAGTGGAGAATGTAATCCCTGAGGTTTTGCAGTAATTACTTTTTTTTCATTTTAGTTGTGTTTGCTCTTCTACCAGTCACAGGTGATTTTTATCATCAAGGTGATAAATTGATATTTTCTTTTATATCATTTCTTGTGCACAATGCCAGGTGTTTTTTTTTAAATATTTTTGTTCAATGTGAGATTCAAGATCACATTTGTTTAAAAGAGATTCCACGTATGTATGTATTTTATTATAAGGCATACAAAATAATTTTAAAAGGGAAAAATATGGAAGCTTGAGATTCTGGGCATTTAAACTATCGAAACTCTCCTTCTTATACAATTTCCATTTATTGCAAAAACGATTTCCTGAAAACTTAGCGCATGAAACCATATTTTGTCAATAGTTGACCAAGCAGTTTTGTGAGGGCTTTTCTATGCATAATGCATTTAATTTCCAAAATAAATGTTGAATTACAAAAAACAAAAAACCCCACAAAGATTGAAGGTAAGAAGCCTTAGAGTTTTAACAAAAAGTGGCATTTGAACAAAGGCTACACGTTTGATGTTACAAACTCAAACTCGTAACACTGGTGCAGAGTGAGAAATGCTTTCTGACTGATTTTCTAGAAGGCCTCTGTTACTTTGTGCTTCACATGAAATTTCTCACATTTGTATTAGAAAATGTTACACGTTTTTATCATAAGTATTTCACTCATGAATTCATGAAATTTAAATAGAAAATATTGCCCCCAGAATAATGAGCTAAAAATCTATCCAAAGGGAAGTAGAAGAGCTTTCTTCTGAGTGCTAAGGTGTTTTTTTTTTTAATTCAGATTCCTGTTTTGAAAGGATATTAAGAGTTCAAGTGTTTTTCTCAGATGGCACAGTTGGAAATGCCATTGTTTCTGGTTTTGTGGGAGGTGACGCGGGTGGAGGGGCGCAGTGCTGCCGCCCCCGAGTGGCCGCTCAGCGAGTGGCCTCCTGACGCCCACCCACGCCGGGGACAGAGACCCCTCCGCGGAGCCAGCAGTATTACTGGGTAGACCTTGCACATCTTATTTTTGTTCCGCATTTTTTTAAAATTTCTTACTTTGTTTATTGCGCTTCAGAAACAAGTATTTTTAACAGTGTATGTGCTTTTTAAAAAATACTGTGGATGAGAACCCTGTGGATTTTTCATTATTGTTGTGTGTGTGTGTGTGTCATGAATACGCTCAAGCGGGTGCGCCGTCGGTTGGCCGCAGCTGTGGAGGCCTGCGCCCCGACCTCAGGGCCTGACGCGCCGCGGTTCTGCCAAAGCGGGAGCGCGGCCCTGACCGCCGGTGACGCCTGCGCGACCGAGGACGGTGCTCGCGCTTGGCGGATGGTCCGTGTGCGGAACTGCGGCCCCCGACGGCCTGCAACTCCGCGTGACTGCCCAGAAGTCACCGCTGTTCCTTTGACTTCAGATTCGTCCATTCAAAAGATGAGTCATTGCTTTTTAAGATTGTTCTAGCATTTGAAGCAAAGGGAAACCACTGAGAGAAGTGAGTTAAAATAGCGTAGGTGAATTTTTTTTATCTCTTAACTCACCAGATGATACCTAGTAATACTTCAAGCAAAGAAAATCTGTCACCAGAATATGTTAAATATTTAGGTAGTTTATTAGTGGGGTGATGAATTTATTTCCCTCTTATTGGGCCCACTCAGAAGCTTGCAGTTCTCATCAACATCTAGTTCATTTGCTTCTCTCCTAGCCAAGCACTCAGAGAAACGATGCATTTCAGCTGGTGTGGGATAAGCACAATGGCCAGCACACTCCATGGCCAGGTGCAGTAGCAAGTAAACCAGCCGAAGTGCAGTGGAGACACAGCAGCTTATCGTTCATGTCCTATAGCTATGAAAACAACTGCACCACGACCTTCTGGAGCCCTGTTTTTGGTCTCATGCTCCCTCTGTGTTCGGGCTGTGCTTATCTTTCTGGAGGTTTGTTTTGTTTGTTCTTTTTTTACTGCAACCTCCAAAATGTAAAAAATGAAAGAGAACTCATGGAGCACACCCTCCTGTTTCATTTTCTTCACTGTGTAACTATTGTTTGTGTGAACATTACAAAAAGGAATCCAGACCATTTCGGTTGGAGTATGTTTTCTCCCCAGGCACGTACTTCAATGATGAGGTTTTCTCTGTATGGAAAACGCCACAGGCTGTTGTACCGCCCTCTGTACAGACTGTCTGGATAGTCGATTTTTCTGTACGGGAAGAGGTAGGGTGTTTAGAGCTGCAAAGGTTTTATAAGTGGCTTTATCCCCCTTCTGGAAGATTTACAAAGGAGACCAAGGAGCACTACTGTTACGGAAGGAAAAAATGTTTACAGCATCTCGTGTACACTCTCTGTAGGCAAGCTGGAACAGGGGCCGTCTGAGAACAGCCTAGTCTGGGGACGGGGGGTTACTAGATCTTACCTGGCCAAATGACTTAAGCAGAATTCTCTTTTATTTCTTTCCTTTTTCAGGTTAAATCTGTAACCTATATGCCTTTACTGCTGAAAACAAAACTGTAGGGCATCATATTGATTGGAAATCAATAATGATGGTAGATTTAATCCATTAACTTTTATAGAGAATGTATCCACTACTGACTTTCTTCCTGTTTCTTTGAAGCACATTCCTTTACAGCCAGTTTTTAAAACACCGTGTTATCTTCTGCAAACAAGGGGTACTGGTGTTGCTTAACAGAAGATAACATTTACTAAAACTCTTTGCTTCAAAGGCTTTGAAATGATTGGATCCCTTTTTGGAAATGGAGAGGAGTTAACCCACGCCCTGGTGGGAGATTCACAAACAGCGCTGCCGAAGCGTGGCCAGCAGCGCGAAGCAGGCGATGAGGCTTGCCTGGCTTCCTCGGAGCCTGCCCAGGGTTTGCTTTCATGGTCTCTCTCTCTGTTCTTTTGTGTTTTTCCTCTCAAAGGCTACAGCCAGAGTGGTATTCTGGGTTTTTTTCCTAAACCTTGACATACACTGTTACTTAAATCACAGTGATGGTCATTTTCCACGTGAAGTCAACCTTTTCAAAATGATTGCAGTACTTTTCGCTTTTGTTCCCTGACAAATGGCTTGTGTCTTAAGCAACTTTCCTCCCCCCCCCCCCCATTTAGAGCGTTCTAATGAAAGAGATATGTGCATGCAGACTCTTAAGCTTCTTGAAGGCAACTGCATGGCAGCAGTATCTCCGGTTGTCGGGGCGTGGGGGGCGTCAGTGCCTTACCCATTCAAAGACCAACTTTAGGGCATCTAGTAAGACAGTAACCATCTGCCCTCGTACCCCTCGGTTTAGGAGTGCACGCTCTGCCCCTTCCACTGGCTCACTCCGTCTCAGAGCCCGTCTATGACAGTCGTGCAGACACCATAGGTGATCGCTGCAGTCCTCAGTTCTGAGTCTTTTTAGATAAGTTCCCTCCCTGCTCCCCTCCTTCCAGGTAGGGGATTAAAAACAAATCACCCCAAATCGCCCTCTAGGTTGAGCAGTCTTAAGAACAACTGAGCAGAGCGTCCATCACACTGAGTTTATTTTGCATTGATGTGGGGTTTGGGGGCGGGAGGGGAGTGGCGCGGGGGTTAGCATACACTTAAACAAGGCCTTTCATAAAATCTCTAAAAGAATATGATAAGGCCAGAAAGATTTGTTTGGGTTTCATGAAAGCTATTGAAGTCTTGTTTGTTATAAGAGTCCCTTTAGCCAGAAATGAGATTTAGTTTGGTTCATTCTATCTAAATAAGACTCAGAATGAACAGCCACTTAACCTACCAGTTACTGTTTACACGAAGACATTATGGCGGGAAAGTGAAAACAACTCCAATATATAAATTAAAGGGAAGTTAAGAGACTAAACTAGCTTACCCAGTATAAGCAAAGCTTGGGAACGTTTTGCTTCTCTGTGAGTATTGCAAGACCTGCAGCTCCTGCTGCTCAACTGAGTCAAGATGCTCTTTTCCACAGTTGTAAAGGGCTTGTCTGTTCCGGAGGAAGCAAGTCACACGGTCTTCTTAAAGCCACAGGAAGGGCTGACTGGTCCTTGAGGGCTAGTCATGGCAGAATTTAAATTTTGAGTCTAGTCATTTGGCCTGTGAAGTACTGATGAGATTAAGGGAATAAAGTTTTATTTTTAATAGAAAGTTTCATAAATACGGGCCATGCTTTAAATACCAGATAAGAAATACTAAGTTTCCCCCGAAGATATCACCTATTAAAACTATTCCCGTAGCCCAAATAACCATTGACTTACTAGGTCTGAAAGAGCTGGCCCGCTAGTTTCTCCACTTTGATTATTGACAAATTCATTGTTTCACAGCCGCCTGGTGTGCGCCTGGTGTGCAGGAGGGTGGGGGATGGGGCTCCTTCACAATGTGATCTAAAGGAGAGTCTGTGGGGATAAGCATCCAGTGATGGCTCTACACAGGAAAACACAAGCCATTTTTACCCTTGACCCCAGTTGACCTAAGGTGCTCATGATGAAGCACCCAATTGCACTATGACCTCCTAGAGTGACGTGCGACTTGGTTCCTCCCTCACTTTTTGTTTCTACTTAATATGCAAATGTGAGTGTGAGATCTGTGTGTTTGCATACACTAACTTAAGATGAATTTAAGTACAGTTTTCTGAAATATTTCTATTGAAATAAATTACCTTAAAAATATAGGTTGTATGGGGGTAATTTATTAACATAACATTTTTATCATTAGCTTTTACATAAATCCTCTCCCTGAAGTAGTCAACAAGAAGTAGCAGCAGACAAGAAGAAGCTTCTGGTTCAGCTGTCCTCTCTCCCAGAACAAGGATGTGCCCTCTTGACAAACAGGGGTCTTGGGAAAATTGTCAGAGAGCTGTCAAACTGGTGAAAAACAGCTGGACGAGCCCAGCTCGGGCAAGGCTGGGAAACACAGTACCCGCATGCACGCGGGTGCGGCCGTGCCCAAGTGCAGCTGCCATGTGTGGACATCGTGTGTGCGCGTGGCTTCAGGATGAAGCCATCCAGTGCTGGCTCCCTCACTAGCCGTGGGGCCTGGAGGAGGAGGCTGAACCGCCTTTCCCCGGTCCCTCGTCTCTAAAAGGTACACGCTGACAGAACCCACCATGGAGTCCTGAGGCTCACAGCCCTCAGGCCCCTGGAGCACAGCCAGCACGCAGCAGGCCCCGTGGTGCCGGAGGCTGTGTCCTTATCCCCCCTGGAACTTTCCAGACCTGCCCTTGGAGTCAGGTGCAGGCAGTGGAATTAGGGATGAAGGCAGAATCTTCCACAGAACAGCAGCCCGGTCTTTGCATAGATGAGTGCTGCTATGTGAGCTGAGAAGTGTCTTAATGTCTTAAACCAAATAAGTCAATCGTATTCATTATAGGCAAACTGGCAAGTCAAGAAAAACATGAAGAGCTACCTATAAAAACCCATTCATTGTTACTGATTCTTCAGTATGTCACCCACCTGGGGCGCCTGTTTGGAACAATGACTCATGAACACCAGCCCAGGATGGCTTAAGTCAGAGCCTGCAGGCAGTGCCCGTCTGGCGGTGCCCACTGGCGTTGTGAAGTTGATTGGGGCCAAGCTCAGCTAGAAGGAACAATTGCCGACTGCTTTGTTATCACATGATTTAAACACCAAGCATCTCATCCAGTTTAGTTGCAGGAGCTATTAGCATCCATATTAAGTGGAAGAAAGAGAAGCAAGTTGCTGTTTTTATTGCAAGAGACTATTTCAAGACTTGGATGTAAAAACGGGACCTTTTCCATTAGGCATGGAAGAGAGACCTGGAGATTCACTGCATTACTTACATCTTAAACAATTAACAATAAATACAATCAATCGATGAACCTCTACGAACCACCGAGTTCTATGGTGGCCATGGTTAGGACCTTAGGCAACCTAAATCGTACTTCAACAATTCTGAACCACACGAATATGGGATTAGAACTTCTGTTTTGAAAGAAAGAAGCAGTTACACTTTTGAGCGTGGTCATGTGTCTCTCCCTGGATCTTTGGGAAAGGCGACAAGAAAAAGTCCAGAGTACGGCCTCACGCTGTTTGACCTGAGACCTTGATACACCTAATGAGGGTCTGTGTGTCATGCCAGATCCAGGTAATTTGCTTCTCGTGGGTAACATATATTATGTGATTC